CTGCTTACTCTCTTCTCACAATAGACTTGCCACTGTTCTGCACGTGTCAGATTTTGTGCCCGATTATGGTTGTTGCACACTGGAAATGTTTTCTGTATATGGGCATAGGTTCTGCGTTTTTTGGTGCTTTTTCTATTGTATGTTCTGCAACTTATAAACAAATAACGGCACGTCGTTGAGGTAAAGCCAGCTGGCTATCTTTGGTTGATGTCGCCTTCATATGCTATAATGACTGTATTCAGTTCCCACTGTCATGTGTGCACTATGAAATCGCCTTTTCTTTTTTCTCGTTATCGCCTGTTAACTTCAACTTACATTGCAATCCGCGTCATATATTCATTGTGCTGATACGCTTTGTGAATCATTTGTGAATACGCTTTGTGATACGCTTTGTGAATTATTTTGTCTGATCTGTAAAACTTCATTAATTACCCCCCTTACTCAATGCCCTGTAAAGGGCCTGTAAGGATTTTTCAATAAACAATATATATATATATATATATATATATATAATATATAATATATATATATATATATATATATACTAAAGAAGATCGTGGCTCCTCGTCCCTTATTTATTCACAAACACGAGGACATTGTCAGCACTAAGAGTTGAGCCTATCAGCATTTTGCTCTTTCCGTGTACAAGTTATTTCTGCTCGTGCAGTGGAGATAACAAAATGAAATCTGTTGATTACGCATGCCAGTCATACGAGATAGGGCTGAACGGGCGTGGGAAGACGTGACAAAGCGTGGTGGGAGACAATTGACAACCGATATTCCTCGTACATGGAACAGGAATAATTATTTCCACATGACGCCACATAAATAGACTCCGAAAAAGCGGGAGCTCCACGAGAGAAGAACGTGCTCGTTCTTTTCATTTAAAGAGGTTGTTTGAGGCCATTTATGTTTTTTTTGTTTTCAATGCTAACCATTTCTAAGCGTACTATAAGAACTATTATCTATCTATCTATCTATCTATCTATCTATCTATCTATCTATCTATCTATCTATCTATCTATCTATCTATCTATCTATCTATCTATCTATCTATCTATCTATCTATCTATCTATCTATCTATCTATCTATCTATCTATCTATCTATCTATCTATCTATCTATCTATCTATCTATCTATCTATCTATCTATCTATCTATCTATCTATCTATCTATCTATCTATCTATCTATCTATCTATCTATCTATCTATCTATCTATCTATCTAGCCGCCCATGCGTCTATGCTCTCGTGAATGCCTCCATTACTTGGTGTTTGACTAATACGGCTGTCAGGTCATGACGTGGATAGCGCGGAAGTCCCGTCGCGTACTTAGTCAAACCCTTTCTTGCGGAAACGTGGCCCATACCTGGCCGTGTACCACGGGCTGTGGTATGCTGTTATGCGCCACAGGAGATCGACAGTTGATATTTACGCAGTAATGACGAGAACTGACTTCGATAATTTAAATGCGAAAGGAAACAAAAAAGCTGAGATTCGGAGCGTTCACTCGACGAATGCAAAGAATAAAGATCAGTATCCCATCAGGAATAGAGCCCAAGCGTTTCGCATATAATACAGGTTTCTACGACATATCCGTACGCCATCGTTGCCACCACCAACCCAGATGCTTTCATTGATGCTGTAAAAGTGCACCTCTCATCCTGAATGGTCATGTATCATGTATCCTTACTGTACACCCACCCCTTATGTTATGCCCCCCCCCCCCCCCCCGTGGGGGGCTTTTAAGGAAATAAAGTGAAAGTGTTCTACCACTGAGCCTCAACAGGTCTAGAAGCTGCCCTTGAAAACACCCGGGCGTATTGTTGGTGGTCAATTGTGGTTGCAGCAGTGGCTTCCCTCTTAGAATTGTCTAATGAACATTATATTTGTGTTCCTGTGATCCAGCAAGCTACATCCAACCGTTTCTAGACCCCGCAGGAATACGCTAACAAAAGTTGCGTGTATTATTCACATTATGATACCATAAAGTGCACTGCGTTTAGATACTACTGCTTTCTGTAGTCTAACGAAAGTATTGTATTTACGCCAGATCAAAGGTTCCATTTGAACGCCAGTGTAGTCGATGTTCCTGGTAAGTAAACAACTGCTACACTTAAAAAACCACGTTGATCAATCTCGCAAGGCTTGGTCTAAAGAAGAAAAAATAATAATAACGTAGCATAGAAAACTGTTCACCAATTGCTTCACATGAAACTGATTTCCACAAGGCGTGGGATCTGCCAAATTTTTGTATATACATTTCATTCATTCGTTTTACACAATGGGCCCTGCGTACAACGCGATGTACATACGCCAGGCGTTACTACGATCACAAGGCGCAGCATTTAATTTTTTAAATAAGTACGGCCTATTTTTTATCAGAGGTCTTCCGCAGCAGTGTATTAGCGGTTTGGGTACCCTCCTGCCGACCCCAAGGTCGTGGATTCGATCCCGGCGGTTGCATTCCGATGGAGGCGAAACGGATAGAGGCGCGTGTACTGTGCGATGCCAGTATACGATGGTCGAAATTTTCGGAGATCTCCACCATGGCATCCTTCGTAATCATATCGTGATTTCGGGACGTTAAACCCCACGTATTATTATTGTCCGTATGAAATCACATTAAGCATTCACAAGATATAATAACCAATAAATCAATCAATCACTCATTTATTGCACGTGCCCGCAAACAACCATGAGGTCTTTGTGCAGCACGCAGAAATGAGGTTTTAATAATAATAATAATAATAATAATAATAATAATAATAATAATAATAATAATAATAATAATAATAATAATAATAATAATAATAATAATAGTAAGGAAATGCGCATAAGCGTTGGTGTCCGGTCAGAAAAAAGCTGCACTGAGCAGCCAATAGTATACGTAAGCGACTTCGCACGGTGAGGTTAGTTTATAACAGAAACTCCTATAGGCAGGCTGTAACATTTTGCAGCTCGTCATTCTGGTTATAGTATGCAATAAGAATGGTAGGAATTTTTGTGCTAACTCGTAAAGGTATACTCTGTCGTGTGTACCGGCTAAAAGTAATCAGTTTTCGTTCATTAGAAGGGCTTCGGATTTTCGAGTTGGTTTTAAGGAAAGTGCGTTGTCCATGACTGACAAAAAATTCAAATATTGTATTTGGAACATAAATCGTAAGGGGGGGAGGGGGCGCTTGAAAAGGGTGCCCCCCCCCCCAGCCTAACTACTAAGGGAGCCACGACGCACCACCACCTTAACCCCCCCCCCCCCCATGTGGTATGCCACTGATACAGTCCATAACAAGACTTCTCCTGTCAGCGGCTTATGAGCGAACGACCGCCCCCTCCCACACACCCTCCATGAATCGGCCACTGCTTTTTGGGCAATGATATTTAAAGTATACGCATATGCATGAATGACGCGGATTCTGCACAAAATCGCCCCCCCCCCCTCCACGTAGCAGCGAGGTATTTTGGTACCAAAAAAAAAAAGAAGAAACAAACGAACTTGGCAACTTCATGTTGTACATTCTCTAAAGAAGTCTCGTCACAGTGAAAATTTTCGAGGCTTTTATGTACGTGAACAAACAACGCTACGTTTATGTGACATACTTAGGGGGATTCCTGATATATTTTGACCCCTGGGCAGTCTTTAACGTGCGATGAATCTAAAAGACATGGGTGTTACTGCATTTCGCCACCATCGAAATTAGGCCACCATAATCTGGAATCGAATATGCGACCTTGAGTTGCACAATACCAAAGCCAACTGAGTTAGTAAGGTTGGTATTTGGGCAAAAGGGACAGCATGCTAGTGGATGAATAAACAGTCGTGGAAACTGTCTAATTGACGTTATTCGAAGCTTGCGGAGGAAAGGTGACCATGTTGTAATTTTTTTTTATGGAGCGACCCAGTATGGAATGACGCTCAATATATGTACAAATGTTGAACTCATAGACATATGCTGAACAGTTGCATATGTTTATTTGACCAGTTGTTTGTACTTGCGCAATGATGCCAACAGGAGCATGAGTATTAGCAACGCCAGAAGTGATAAGCTGAAAAGAAGCGCTGGTGCCTCTGGTGCTCGCGAGGAAGGTATCCCCAGACACTGCTACATAAATCAATTTCAGCGGATGACACCTAACTACAATTGACGTGAACCCCACGTTACGGCTGTATCATATGTGTTTGTTTATAAAATGGGATAGCCAGCACTGCAACCGCAGTTAACGTTTCAAAGACGTTAGGGTCTATTTTAAAAGTAGTTACGAGACATGGCTTGGTTCTGTGGTAGAATACTCGATTGGCACGCAGAATGCTGGGGTTCGATTCCTGCTGGAACCCTGACATTTATTCTTTGCATTCGCCGTGTCAGCGCTGCAGTCAATGTCAGCTTTTTCTTAACGCTCACGTGTTAAAATTACCCATTTGATTTCTCGGTGTTCCTGGGTAGGTACTAAGTTTCAATGACCTGTGGTACATACCCGCATAGCAGTGGCATATGTCCTTGGGTGTGTGCCATTGTCTGGCGGATAGTGTTTGACGTCGTACGCGACAGGATTGTTACATTATTTATGTATTGACCAGCGTGCCATAGTTGTCAAACAATCTGACCCTCACATACTAGCTTTGGTTCATGCCAAGTCAAGGGGTAGGTCACGAAAGCACTCAGATGTAAGGGGCTAGATAGATAGAAAAGTGCTTGCACGTAAATAAATGCTTCGAACTTAAAGGCTTCGAAAACAATGGTTCAACACAGGGACTATCAATGGTTACCGAGGAGATGATTATGAAGTTCTTTTTTATATTCCATCATATTTTGTACATTCAACGTGCGTTTAATGCGACTAGAGTTCACGTGTCCATTATTTGGTATTTCAAGTCTCCCGCTCCCGCGGTAGAACATCAAGAGAAGAATATCCTAGGGAATTTAGGGAGTGTCTGAGCTTGTTCGGATTGACGAAAGAAGCGTGTGGTGGCGTCGAAGTCGCGGATCATATGATCGTGATTCCGCAGATCGCGTGAAAAGAGCTATCTCGCGTGCTCTTGCAAGCAGTTCGCCTTGTTTTCTTTGTGTGAACGGCTGTGCAGCAGTGTACTTCGAGCTGAAGCTGGCACTCGACTTTGCTGCAAAATGTTCGCGAGGGTGCTCTTCGCGGCGAGCATAATTTGCTGTGAGTATGCAGCGACTGTCAACGCTGTCTTTAGTTGTCAATGCAGCCTTTTGTTTCACGCTTTCCGAGTTCTTGCTTTGCTCTCTTTCAAATATATTTTTCTGCATTGTATTTTGATTAAGTACACTGAAGTTGTTTTTTTCAAAACTTGCATTCGCAGTTAAGACTGCTATAAATTGGAAAGCACATGCTAATGGCAAGACCCACACGTGCACATCATAATGGGTGTGTTGGCACGATCCATTCAAATGTGATTGACAGTGTTGTAATTAATGACACTCGTTGAGAGCGTTTGTGCGATCGGGGTGGCAGGTGTGTGTTTGATTAAAGTTGTTTTCGAAAAATTTCATTCAGGATCGATCAAAATTCATTCATTGTGATGCCGCAGTGGAAGCTCATTGCTGCTTCTGTGTGTTTGATAACGTTGGCGTGTGAAAGTTGCTTTTTAAATTAACGCATTGCGTGTTATGTCGGCGTATCGCTACGGTATGAAAATGCTTTTTTTTTTCTCTTTTTGTTGCCATGGCCCGTCCAGTGATCTTGAGTCTGCATCAGCAGAAATCGGGTAATGGTTATTTAATTCAAACCACGTTGACAGGTTGTGTGGAGTGCATTGTCTGTGTGCCCTTCAGGTGCCGCTTGCATGGTTTTTCAGGCTAAAGATAAAAAAAAAATGTAAACTTGGTTAGTGATTGACTTGAGGAGATGAACAGTAGTCGAACAAACAATGTCCCTGAAGCGATTGTTTCAGCGAGGTGATATGTCTTCGTCGGGGCAACAATCTGTCGAGACAAATTATTACCCTGATGAAGGCAACGCTGCTTAGTGTAAACGTTTGTGCCAGATACGTCTTTTGTGCAACGGCTGCCGAGGACTTAGGAAGCTATTTCACACATTCCAAGTCACTTCTCATTGAATACGTGCTACCAGTTATGTTCATGTTGGCTAAGTGTGCATTTGAGAGAAAATGCAATATAGATGTTGGGGTATTCTTGATGATGATCATGTCCTTACACTGACAACGCTCGTGCACTAAGGGGGTGGGCCAAGAATCGGGCAGGAGGATCTCTTAAGTTAAATACTTATGTAGCTAGTGAGTGAGTAGGAAGTTTATTAACGTCCTGAGGAGAGAGAAAGTGGTGCCGAAAGTCCCGCCAATCGATTAGGAGGTTCCACCCAGGTCAAGACCGGTAGACAGAATGAAGCTAAAAACAAACAGTTTTCTTGTAGCAGTATGTAGACAGTAGTGCATGCTTTTTTTTCTGACAGTAGTTTACGTCGAGTAAATTTCTCAGAAGCTAAGTGTTTTCTGAGTACGCTACATATGTTCCACACATACATTCAAGCTAAGGTGTGGAGTGCATTTTCTTGATTGCAGAAAAATTATCTTGAAAAGTTCAAGCTTCTTTATCTGTTTTGCACCTGCATGTATCAGTATGTTGGAAAAATCAAGAAGGTTGTAAAAAAAAATAAACTTTCTGCATACGAGTTCAGTGGTTCTTCATAAAGAACATTCATTTTCTTGTTGCATCAGTGATTGTTTCTTTCTGTCTGCATTTTAACTTTTTTTGCTAAAAGCCACTGTGATGGCTGGCTACTACTCCCCTTCACCTTGGCTGTCCTTTAGTGGCATCACTGTTATTTTAAAGTGAAATTGTTGCCTTTCTGCTGAACGATTTTGCTTAGTCAGAATTTATAAATTAAGATGTACTTTTGCTTTAAATTTTCAGGAATGGTATGTATTTTTGTGTTTTTAAGTTTTTTATAATAGCTTTACGCTGAAAAGACAAGTGGCACTGAAGAAGTGTTTGGTTTTGTATATTTGGGCTTCTCTTCAGCATGAGAGCTTATAATAAGGTTTTGAAATTACACGAAACAGCTGCCTGTAATTACTTACTCTCTTTCGCTGTCACATATATTTGACACTTTTATGCTGAAGTGATTTTTAATGACCAAAAGATATTTGTGACTTAATTGAGACATACTTTGGTTTTAAATTTTCAGGAATGGTATGTGTTGTTGTGTTTTTATTAAACTAAAAAAAAATTCTTTTCTTTTTCAGTTGGCTCTTTGCTGTACATTCTTATAAAGAAAACAGCTAAATCATTGCTCATACAGATGTTAAATGTGCTTAATCTTTTCCAAATGAAGAATCACTAAATTTGTCACCGACAAAGACATACATTATACATATTTATAAGTTTGTCTGTGACACAGTAAAAAAGCATGCAACTTTTATTGAAAGTACTTATGTGGGGTGTTTTTTTTACATATAACAGATTTTTTAAATTGAAATTTCATGCAGTAAGGTTCATGTTCTCTCACACTAATCCTGTATTGAGATGGAAGCACCTTGCTCCAATGATCAAAAACTTGTTTCCTCTTCAGTTATTGCCTTGAGGGCAGTCATCTATATTAGGAAGTTGTAGTGTGTGCCAATTTATGGTATAAACACCTAAATAAAAAACAATAGTTGCTGTTGATTAGAAATATTTATATTTGAATTTTAGGGGTTATACCAGAACAGGTTGCACCTGGTAAGCGTGTAATTTTGTTATGTCAGATTGAAAGTACCTGTCACGAGGAGGTGATGAAGATAAGAGGGTTTGTTAATGAGTCTCAACAGTGTTGCTATAGCTAGAGTAAAGTATTTCCATGTGGTGTAAAGCTCATGCACGAAACAGTAGCCTTATTATTATAGAATTATTATAAAACAAATATTGCCTAAAAGAAAAAAAAATATATATATATATAATATTATACGCATGCACACGCAGCATTATTTTTCGAAAGCTACATTTTAACTTAATGAGTATGATGTTCTAGCTTGTGCCAACTTGCCGAACTTGGGGGAATTGACAGCAACCTTTAATCATATTTCAATTCATGTCGGACAACACAAAGAACAAGCAAGAAGACATCTATACAGTCACAAGGCACACTGACAACTGAAAATCAGTGAAAGTTTCATCCTTGATCTTTTGGGGTGATACGTTGGCATTTTTGCTTGTCCTTCACATTTGCTGGTGTTTCCAAGCCACCACAAGCCATCTATTTAAACACAATACATTTTGGCAATTTTCAGTTGCTCTCGGAAAATTTCATACGTGTGTCTTTTAAACACAATACATTTTGGCAATTTTCAGTTGCTCTTGGAAAATTTGATACCTGTGTCTAAGCAAACATGCTTGAGGCGATTTCTGGACATTTTAATAGAGACAGAAAATTACTCCTTTTATTTCCCAGCAAGCTTGATTTCAATTCAGCTTTAGTCACTATCACTTTGTCAGTAGGGATCAGGATGCAGAAGTGCTATTGATAGCTGCTGTCAATATGCTTAAGTTTATTGAACCAGCAAGCACACTTCGAGAACTTTAAGATAACTATGAAGCTGACCTGCAGGTCGCGGGATCAAATCTTGGCTGCAGCGGTGGTCGAAATTTCCGCAGCCCTCCACTACGGCGTTTCTCATAGTCTAATGATGGTTCTGGGACGTCAAATCCCACATATCAATCAATCAATCGAAGTATTTGTAGTAGCATGTTTGACCTTTTGCTGGAAAGGGATATGACACGCAATATTGATGACATGCAATATGACATAGCAATATTTATATTGGTTAGCTAGTATTAACACAAAAAAAGTTTAATTCCAAGTGAAATGAGCGGAAAAGAAGTAAATAGTGCTGAATGAGGGCTTGCATTGCCTGTTAAGAACTTATTACAGTGCGACACAACCACAACTCCTTGTAGATCAGGCATATTTAAAACTATTGTCTCTCTGTATTTAGCAAGTTGACTAGGGCCTGTGTGTCGAGGGTATTGGACATATTTCTGCTTCTGTGTCTTCATGCATCACATGTACCCCATATGATGCTCTTTTCTATTACATTGTTGGGGAGAAAGCATAGCACGCCTTCTGTATTCCTGTTAGTCCAGTTGTCCAGTGTCAATTTTTATGAAAGGGAACACAGAAACACCTGGCCTGCGCACTCCGGTGGCTGTTGGCAGCGCGTTCAAGTGGCAGCGAGAGCAACCACAGCCTCTTTTCCCATCAAGAAAAGCTACCATTCATTGCTGATATGGAACTCCCTCCCTCTTCAGGGCAATTACCGGCCTCTTGCATTATTCACCTTGATAAGGGGGAGGTGGTGGTATCTTGTCCTGGTTCCATATCAGCATTGAATGGTTGCCTTGCTCACCGCGAAAAGAGGCTGTGGTTGCTCTCGCTTCCACTTGAGCGCACAGGCCACGTGTTCCCTTTCATAAAAATTGACAATGTACATCAAGAAGTATGTGCAGTGCTTTATATTGTTAGCTGATTATGAAACTACAGTTGCTTATGAGCAGTAAATGTAAGTTATAATGGCATGAATGACCATTTGGGCAATTTGCTGCTTCTTGACTCTTCTGATTACTGCCATAGCTTCAGCTTGTGCTTATTAACCTTCTCTTTAGCCATGGTTAGAAGTAAAAATGCATTTACTATTAGAGAACTTCAACTTTGTTAACAGCCTGCTCTGCTTGGGATGCGTGCATCGTTGTGAATTGCACACAGCTGCTCGGAGACAATGCTAGTGGGCACATGCGCAGTGCTTATGCAGCAAGCATCAGAAAGTGGAATGCAGCCTTCACTTACTGACCCAACAAGCATAATGCTACCTCCGAGGGATTCTTTTGTTGTTTTACAGCAATGCTGTTTGCACATGACTTAAGGCTCCGTGGTTAATGCTTAGCGAAAATGCGAAGTGAACACAGCTCTTTACATTTTCCGAGTGTATGAAGTACAAGTGCAGTAGACCATGAGAGAGACTCTGCCAGATATCTCTGTTACTGTACTATGGCAAGCTGAGGAAACAAGCCAGTTTTGCCTATATGTAGATCACGCTTTTTTGTTTGTTTTAACTACATGCAATTTTTTTCCAAAAGTCGACATTCTGCAAATAAAGCTCTCTTGGTAGTGAGTGCTAGTGTTTACTTTTTGTTTGAGTTAGCTGAACACTTTGCCATGTGATGATTGGTTTTATGGTATTGGTGCTGGGTAAAGGGCTGCCTATTTTTAGTTCCTTGTATTGGCATATGGACACGGACACTTTCTTACCTCGCTGACAGAGGAGGGCTTGTTTAATTGTTGTTTTTGCATGGTGTCATCTTGTACTGTCATGTTTATAATTATGACTTTTGAATTGTTTCAATAAGCAATATGACTCCCCTGATTAATCCTACCAATCTGATAATTATGTCAAAATGCTTAACTTACTATCATGCTTGCATGTCAATCCTTCATTGGCTGCTCATGTTGGGAACAGTTTCCTTCGCAAGGTTTCTGTGTGCTGCTGCTTGAATGTGCAGGCATACTCGTAAATACAACGATCTTATCAGCACTGTACTTCATGACAAGAATTTGTAGCTTTTCCGTGTGTTTATCTATGGGCTCTCTTTCTCGCATTTTATTTCTATTAATAATCACTGAGAATGGGCAAAAAGTAGAATTTCATACGGAAGAGATTGAAGAGTGAAATTTTCAAGCCAGGCCAAATTAAAATATTAACTTAAAGAAAAAGGACTGCCAAATATCAGTTGAAATGAAGCAGAATGAAAAGTTTCATCAAGCCTGCTTGGTAACAAAACACTTTACAGAATTTTATATATAAACACATGTGTTAACAGCCTACTCTACCACATGTGACATGGCAGTGTTATGCCTCAAGTGCAATTGGGTTGAAATTGATAAAGTTAAGAGGAGTATGTCATAGCTACATCTAGTGCACAGTTCAGTGTTTGAAATGTTGAAAATATCATAAAGAATATAACTGCAAGCTTGTTGATATTGATTGAATAATAAGTGGTATTATTCAGATAACAACATTCTTTTACCGCAACTGTATAATTGATACAAATAACCAGTGAAGGTGTACCTGACATATTTTGAGGGGTTGTTAGTGTGGAATTCACAATTTTAACTTGAGAATATTTTTGCAAATTTTATTAGGGAAGGATTTTTAGCTTTGTTGAAATTTCTGTTTCTGGGGAAATATTTTTTTATTTTTCATTTCAATAGGCAAAATTATGCTAGATTTCACAACTTATCATAAAAGAGAAAATAAGTGTATCAACAGAAGACAAGTTAAATAAATATAGTGATATGAATAATAAAAAGAAAGGCTGGAACTGACTCCTGCGAAGGTTCATTACTGACAGATAATGACACTGCATGTCCTCGTGCCCAAAGCTTTTATTTTTTTGTGAAACCCAGAATATCGGTTCGGGTTTAATTTGGCATCTTGATCTGAAACTTGGTTTTGTTACAGAACATTCAGAAATGTGGATCTAGCACTTTTTTTACTTATTAATATCACATAATAGAACTGGCCTTTTCTATATATATTTTTTTCAAACTGAACATAAAACGCAGATTGTTTATTGTAGCTTGGGCTATATTGCTCTCGTAACATTTTAGTTATTTTATAGCATTTGTTGTGTTTTATTTGCAGTTCACTTTGTTTTTGTCACAGTTGGCATATTGGGCTTTAAAAAAGATTGTGGAGTGAATATTTTTCTTATTTTCTGATTTTAGTAAGCACTGCAGTCCCCATAGCCAAGCCAACGGACAAAGTTTGCCAGACATTGAGCACATCATGCCAAGATCTGTGGGTAGCGTCATCATGCAAAACTGTGAAACCCTGCATAGAGATGATTTGGGAAAGGCTCGAAGTCCCCATGGACAAGGTAACTTTATAGACTTTAGTCATTGGCAGCATTTGAACCTGGCAATTATTGCTTCATTTACAGAGCAGTGTGTGCAACATATGCAAGGAAATGGTTAAAGAAGCAAGAGACCAGCTCCTTAGCAATGAAACTCAGGTGGGGTTATTTTTCTTTTTAGACCTATGTGGATGCAGAAACCATTTGCATGCTAACTCTGCTGAAACACTATTGCATTTCTCTGACAGGAGGAGCTAAGGGAAGTGCTTGAAGGCAGCTGTGCTCTCATACCAATTGGATTTATTAGCGAAATGGTTGGTGCTGTTTGTTACTGCTTTGCATGTCTCCTTTCTAAATCTTTTTCTTTCACGTTTCAGTGCAAGGAAATGGTTGACAGTTTCATTCCTGATCTAATCGACATCCTTGTTTCGAGGATGGTAAGTGGGTCAACACTGATAGTAGTTACTTGTTGTGGACAGCTTAACTCTGTGTAGTAATGAAAGGAGAAGCTACAGAGGCTGTGTTACAGGGTGCCTTTGTTACTGCTGTAAGCTCAAACCAATGAAACTCTATAAATATTTTAATAAAAACTAACAGACAATGATACCAAGGAAAGTATAGGCGATGTTACTAGAATTGTAAAGTAAATGGGAAGAAAAAAAAAAAAGTGGACGAAAAGATAACTTGCCACTGGCAGTTACCAAACCTGCAACCTTTGATTAACGCGTCCAATGTTCTATCAATTGAGCCACAATCGGGATCATCTCTGTCAACTTTATAGGGAATATATGTGCACTTAAATGTGAAAGTGCAAGTCAGTGCCACTGGTTACTATGACGGCGAGTGTGAAGCACTCTTTTTGTGCCTGGAACACTTGCATGTAGAACGCTGTTTTGCGAACAGGCACCAAGAAAGTGATCCACACTTGTCGTCACGGCAACTAGCAGCGCTAGCTGACACTCCCACGTTTTTACTGCAAATAGCCGATAAAGTGGATGGAGAAATGAACGCCGTTGTAGCTCAGAAGGTAGAGCAGGGAACTAGTTATTTGGGGGTTCGGTCCCTGCTAGCGGCAAGTTATCTTTTCGCCACTTTTCTTCCTTCACATTCACATTACAATTATTTTTATAACATCCCCGATACTTTCCTTGCCATCATTGCCTGTTCTCATCAATATTGTGTCAAAAAGGAAAAATGACCCTTTCAATTTGCACTCATTTCCAAGAAACAGTCTAATACCTGCACGTTGCATCAGTAGCTTTCCCTTGGCTGTCAAAGAAAGTTGTCTGTGAGTACACATGAGCACATGGCAAATTTTTTGGGTGTCTTCGATATGACTTTAATATTAAGCTTACATTTTGCCTTTCTGGGCATATGTGGTGTAGGGCAACAACAAAACATGAAGTAAAAAGAGTGGGAAGAACAAATCATGGAGAATGTAAAGACGAAAAATATGCCCTGAAATAATTTGAAAAGGGATGCAATTTTTGCACCATTGCTAATGGACAAATCTAATTTTTTTTTGTCAGAATGGAAATAAATTGTGCAACTTGCCTGTATGGCCAATGCACTCATTGCAGTTGTTGTCCCAAGTTGCAGCTGCTACACCTTTTCTAGTTTTAAATGTTGATTTTATTATTGTATGATTGCCTAGTGTCTGACCAGAAACCTATTGTGTCAAAGAGAAGCACATGTACTTTTTTTTCTCATAAACTTCCAGGACCCAGACCAAGTCTGCACAATCGCTGGTTTATGCAATCCCGATTTCGTTACCAGGAAGCTTCAGAATCTACTGCAGCACAAAGTTTTCCTAGCGGTGAGTAGTTGCTGGAATCTTTTATTTCGAACGCATTGGTGCGTCTCTCTAGCAACCATACTTTCAAATGCACCCCGCATTCCAAGTTCATTGGTGTCTTTTGATGACTGTATTTTAGGAAATGAGTATCAAGTTACTAAATGTAAGCAGGTTTTTGTCTGGCAATTTGTCTTTGTTTGAGAGGGTTATTTGCTTTTTATTTGTTGGCAGCCAACAAACTTGACATGAGAAAATTACTGGCAATTATCAGACACGGCCGGGAGCGACATTGAAAAAATTTTAAATTAAAGTACTGATTAGCCAAGACTTGGTTATGAAATTTTTATTGTATATTTTTTTCATTTGCACTGCTTGATTTAAAAAAATGCTGTAAAATTGAATACAGTACATGATTGTATTCATGAACACTTGCCTGCCACAAACAGGGCCTAAGCATTATTAAAAGTAAAACTGAGTGAACTTCAGCCAAATATTTTATAATAAAGCAAGACCAACAATGAATTCCACAGTTTTAGCTTTTTTATGGTGTCTTGTGCATGAACAGCTATGGTGCAAGCTCTGCTTATTAGCCATTTTTTTTTCGTAATATGCGAGGAATAATTGGGTAAACATAGGAAATGAAAACAAACATAAATAGCATAATTAAAATTCAGTGTTATGCTTAGGTGCTCATAGAACTTCACCAATGAAGAATCTATGATTTTTTTATGTGATAACATGTTGCGCATGATCTCCTTGGACATTATGTTGCACATTCATTAAGAATACCAGTAAAAATCGCAAACAAGCTTAGTCTGGTTGGGCAGTCCAGTTTTGTAGTGCGGCCATGAATAGCTAACAGAAAGCAGTACATACATTTAGTTCAGAAAAGAATTATTGGTGCTAGAGTTCTACATCAGTGATTTATCGGGCTGACTAGTGGCTATAACGACACTCTGCGAAATCAAAATTTTGTCATGCTGTGCCTGCGTGTGAAAAAGTTGACTGAAATTTTTAGGACCTATTAAGGTGTGAAGCATTATTTGTTGGCATATGTGTGAAGTGTTGTTGTATTGACTCTTGTATATTATGTGCATAGGAATTTTCGTCTGCAGAAGAAACATGCAACCTGCATAGTTTGTGGCTGAAAAAGAGGAGGGGGAAGTGGCTCTGTATTTGGATTCTTAAAGAAGCATATAAACGACGTTCGATCTGCACGTGAAGTAAGCTTGCAGAAAGCTTGTCATGTAATGTTTCACATACATTAATACCTTATTAGGAGGGTTGTATTGGGAGGGTTGTCAAAAAGCCTGTTTTTCTCCCATTGAAGTCTGGGCACCTCGAATGTCTTCATTGAGCAGTTGTAGACCTGTCAGCCTTATAATACAGTTTCGATGATACGATTATGATTGATGCAAACTTCGCGATGATACGAGTTTGAAGTTTGCTTCGGGTGGACTACAATATATAAAGTACGCCGGGATTCAGTGTTATCCGATCGGTTTTTCCAGGCATCGCAGATGATATGAATGCGTGATCGAGTGCTGCACGCGAGCGGGCCAACACGGCTTGTCTGTGGGAGAAAAGCCCATTTGTTTACACTTGTTCTCGAAGGGAGCAAATGGGGCAAAACTCACCAGAATTTTTCTTGCTTTGCTGCCGGAAAAATGGCCTGAAAATAATCCCGCGAGGCCGACGAGAAAAAATTGGTCGGAGACAAATTTTGCTGTCAAGTGATAGTGGATTGCCTTTCTCCTAAGACGTTGGCTACAGAGGCTGCACTAGCTCTCAAACCACGTGGTGTAAACGACCAGCTGTGTATTCAAAATGGTGTCAAAGGCATCGGTGGTGGCTCGCGTCGGCGCAATCGTGAACTACCCGCGCAGCACAACAAAGACCACGGCCTTGAGAAGGACTCGTTTCATTGGAAGTCTGGTTTGAATTACGCTGCGAACACGGACCGGAAGTAGGAGAAGGGGCAGCAGCAGTGAGCCGGTATGCCCTAACATGTCCCGCTTTTGCTCTGCTGGCTGAATTCGTCGCTGCCACTGGCGGTGCATCCGCTCGTGTCGTTTCTTGTAGTGTACCCATATAAACAATGTTTGTAAAGGTGTAAACTGTTTCTTTTTAGTACTTCGCATGCATGACTAGAACTCAATATAGATTTCAATGCTGGGGAATGAATTCTCAAGCTGTGACATGTATGCGAGGGCTAGAACGAATGTGTACATTTTTTATGGGGGCGGACTTGTTTTTGCGGCTGTTTTGGCATTTTCGCTTGGATTCTTCAGTGTGAATTCCCCTGGACAGATTTTTTATGTATTGACTTCGCGGCGCGTTTTTCAGACTGCTCAAACGGTGAAGCAAGTAAGTTTACAATAGGTGTAGCCACTTTTGCTCCCTTTGATGCCAGGTGTGAATGTGCCTTATAGCGCCAGCAGCATGTGTGGGGAAACCGTGGCACTTTCATGAGAGGCAGTGAAAGAGCAGTGAAAGAAGGAAAGTTCCAAAGAAAACATCATGGGCTTCCTTTCAGCAAGGAGTAGTTGACCCCAATAAAGTTCTTGTTCATCTTTATGATCAAGTTTAACTTGTTTTTGGTTTATAGGAATTCGGGCCTAAGTGAAAATGAGTCCCATTTCCATCTGGGTTATGGAACCTGGAAATTTTTCCAGGCTGGAAATTCTAGCTGGGAAGGAAAAATGTTTCCAGTCTGGAAAAATTTCCAGGTTCCATAATCTAGCAGGGAATGGAAATATTCTCAGCTAAGAATGGAAAAAGTTTTCAGCTTGAAAAATTTCCAGATTCCATAATCCAGCAGGGAATGCAAATATTCCCAGCTGAGAATGGCAAATTTTCCAGCCTGCAAAAGTTTACAGGTTTAATAATGCAGCTGTGAATGGGAGTATTCCCAGCTGAGAATGGAAACATTTTTGAGCAGGAAATGGCTGCCTTAGAGAATATCCAGATTTTTGTCTCACTGCTATCGCGAACGTATTAGCATTTAGTTCGTCAGGACCTGTTCATCCCGATCACTGAACACAGACAAAGAAAATGATTTTGAAACTTAAAAACATTTATTTGAATGCTTGTAGCAAGTGCTGAGACATCTCTTGAAATGTGGAATGAGTTGCTTACATCCTTGTACACCACCTGAAAAATGTATTCATGCATAGTGAGCGCACATTGAAACCACATTGACATATAAATTGTTATTCTAGCAAAAGTATAACCTCATCAATCCACATGAACAGCATCAGTACAGCTTTGCAAAGCAGTACATCTTTAACATGCACCCAAAGCAACAGCAGCATGTAATACAAAGGTCATTTGTAGAAAATATTTGATGGGCATTGCAGTTTAAACTACAACAATTATTAAGCAACAATGAAGGAAGAATTATTTTTATCAACCTTAAACATCTCCAAATGAATGTCAAATTAATTCACGCTCACATATGTAAATACTGGAGTTAGTTGCAAAGACGTATGCACGCCATTGGCATAAGTGTTGAAGGGCATATGGGTATGGTGACAGTCTTTTTGCCCAAACCAACCTGTAATGAATTTCGCGTGTATAGAAGCATTGCATACAAACATTTGGGACAAACGTGCCTAAAATGTATAGGTGCAAAACTTGCCTCCAAACGGTAGAATCACAGTTGACATAATTCATGTCCCACGATCGGCGCTCTATCCAACACATCACGCACAGTAAAGCAGTAAAAACCGCTCGAACACTGTCATCATGCGTAGCACTTTCCAGAGATAAAACTGAACTATTTCATTCAACCGCCACTTGGGTATTCCTCGAGGAAAATCATTAGACTAGCGTACAGCGAGCGCGCACATGTGAAACTTGCTACACGACTAGCTGCCATTTGTTGTACGAAACTGTGGTCATGCTCCGGTGGCTAATAATGATTTATTCAGTTTACTGGGCTACTGTTGTGTATAATGTTACCTTAAAAAAATATTGCTTTTCGTATGCAGTATGAGTAATAAAGCTTACAATTATTAGATCGTGGCAGTCAATGGTGAATTCAAAAGTAAGGTTCCTTTTCACAAGGAAGAAACTGGCATTGTTTAAACACTGGCTTCGGGCACAGCGGCTTAATAAGCAACTGGGCAAGCACATATAAACAAGCACAACTATAAGGTCAAAGAAAAGTAGGTCTGGTTCGGACCTATATTTGATTCCCAGCTGTACGTGGCACCTAAAATCACAGTGGTTAAATGTGTGCCGTATGATCTTGGTCGTCGGCAAGATTTTGGGGGGGGGGGGGATGCAACTCGTGTTGCACCACTGCCGGGGGAGGAGGAGAGCACTGGTGTAGCTTCGATGGGGGAAAATGTTGGGGTGTATTGAGGGGGGCAAGTGCCCTTTTCCACCTCTCTGCCGACGCCCATGTATGCATGTGATCCATATTCCGAATCGTGCCTAGAAAGAAAAAGTGGAGTTTTGATATTCTATTTGTAAAGCGTGGGACTTTAGGTAGCAAAAATCTGGAAAAAAAACTCTACTTACATTCAAGTAAATGCCATAAACACTTAATGTAGAGCATAGGGCACCCTTGTATGTAGAGCATTTTTTTTGTTTGGCTCGAATTCCTTTTGTCAAATAACCACACTCAAACAAGAAAATTTTATGCTAATCGAGCAAATTATTTCGCAACTGCAAGATGGAAAAATTTCCTGTTGGAAATATAACTTTCAAACTTGGACTGGAAAACTTCAAGCTGGAAATGGAAATGATTCCCGACTGGAAAGCCATTTTCAGCTAGAAGTGTAACTTTCAAACTGGGACTGGAAAGCTTCAAGCTGGAAATGGCTTTTTAGTCGGAAATCATTTTCATTTACAGCCTGGAAATACCATTCCCAGCTTGGAATAGGATTAATTTCCAGCCAAAAATGGCATTTCCAGCTGGGAATGGGAAATTCCTCACCTGAATAGCAGTTTCCAGCTAAAAAACAGGCTGGGAACTCAATTTCCAGCTGGGAATTGACATCCCGTTTTCATGTGGGGGATGATACGAATATTTTACATGCTTCCTTCGAATTCCTATCATTGAGATTCTACTGTACCTTTGTTTTTTTTCCAAGTTATCTGGGCTCTTTTCATGGTAATTGAATCTGCCTATAGAGGTTGCACATCATCCAGTACTTTTCTAAAAGAAAAATCAAACAGAACATTGTGTCAAAAAGAAGGTGGACACTTTATCAACACTGCGATTGCTTGGGTTTTTGTTGAGGTAACTAATTGTACTGATAGCAGCAGTTGCTGGCTAGTTGTTGCCAGCTGTCTATATTGTTAGGGCAGTGTGTCAGTCTGTGTACATTTGAATTTATGAGTAGTATGCTGATACTAAAAGATCAGAAACAGTGAACTCCACGCTGTTGACTTTTGATGCTGGTACAACAACAGTAATGAACAAAAGACGAGGATTTTTTTAATAGGCTTGTTTTTCTGTTAAACACAACCAAAACCACTACAACAGGAATAGTTTCAACGAAGAAGACTTGCAAGTGCATATATTGTTTTAATAAATGTGTTGTCCTTCTCTTTCCACAAATTTAGTCAGTTCAGTCTCGTGTCTTCCTGCCTTTGACAAAAGTAGCGTCAACATCAATCACCAAAAAGGAGGCCACATGTACTCAATGCAAGACAGCCATGAAACATGCTAGGGAGCTGTTCCAGAAATTACCCTTGGTAATTGCAGTTTTTTCTTGAGTCTTTTTTCTCTCTCTCTCTTGCTAAGTCTGCTAGAAGTTCTGTTTTTATAATCAATGTTGGTAATCTTTTTTTTAAATGTTTGTTAATGAAATGTTAGGTTCTGTTGAAGTGCAGTCACGCCACCTATTTTTCAGCTAGCCTCCAAATCACGGCTCCTTTCCTAATTTCTGTTACCTGTTTGATATGCTAGTGCATGGAATGTGTACAGAGATGCTCCTCAAAACATCAGTTTGAATGCTTTCCTTGGTCAAAATTGTGTGCCTGTGATGTGGTACTTTCCTTTTGAAGCATTATAAATTACTAAATGTAAGCTGAAAATAATATTGCTAGCTTTTATTGCTCATCTCTTTCCCCGTATGTTGGTTGTATTCACTGCCATTACATGGTGGTAATTTTGCATTACAGGAAGGAGTCAGGTCTGCTGTCCTGAAGGTCTGCCACAAAAGGCTTGGCACAGCCAATCCTGAGGTACAGTATGGTGCAGTGTGCTGTGTGCATTTGTAGAGTCGAAATATTATAGTTTCTTATAAGCATTGACATGTCAGAAACTTGAAACAATAGCACCTTTGCAGGAATTGGCATAGAATGGACCAATGGGGCTGTGCTTACTTAATTGTTGACTATTTATAGCTGCCTGAAGCACACAACTTTTATTAGGACCACGTTTTCTTTTTAACAAATTTTCGCCTAAATATTGCATTTCTTACAGTGTTCTACATTGGTGAATGTTTTCTTGCCATCATTCTTCAAGTACCTGCAATCATTGGTGAGTTCTAATTACTGGAAAGCATCCATTACTCCGTATTGTCACAGGACATTGCATCAGTTAGCATACTTTGTAGTGATGCATGTGTATGGTGTTATCTGTGTAGCTTTATGGTGAGGTATGTGTGACTCCATGACTGGTAGAAGGCACATTTCCGATATGTTGAAAGCAAACTGCAACAAAATACAAAAGGTTCACAAGTTCTAAAAAAGGCTGTCCATAAAAAAGCTTTGTTTTGCGGCCACTTGCGTTTCAGCCTCTTGGCATTGAACACACTGCGTTGACTAGTTTCACATTGAGGGTCCTGTGGCTGTGCTTGTCTTTTGGCTCGTGTCTTATTACTCGTTGTAATTGACATACTTTTCTGGGAAAGATTTACAAACTGAAACTGAGAATGTGGATTGTAGCAGTGTCCAGTTAAGGCCTGCACCACCATACATTCATTCAAAAAGGTGTTAAAAATTATATCAATATATTTGCGACATTCTACTGCAGTGATTGTTACGTTATAATGAGTGGCTTACGATAAGTGAACTTATGCACTAAAAATTCTTACTTTTTTTCTTTTTTAGAACCCTGAAGAATTTTGTGCATATGTGGACCGTTGCAAGTCTGTGAACCCACCAAAACTGAGTGTATGTTATTCCATTTTATAAAAAATAGCATTTCAGTGGCCTTTACACTATTTAGAATGATGGGCCAAGACCTTGGAGCAATTTTATGCAAATTCATTTCTTTTTTTGTGTTTTGTTTGCATCCTGAAAGGCCTCCATTACTACTAGAAAAAGCCACTGGTGAGAATTTCATGATAGTAAATGAACAGAATAAAGCAAATAGAGTTATTTCATTATTTTGGCCCATAATGCACCATGTGCACTGTTAATATTAGTGTTTTAAACATGGTTGATCATGTGTCCGTTCTACTACTTGTAAAAAAAGTAGCCTAATTCGGAGAGTTCTATTTTTCTTTGCTTTTTTGTTTTTTGAAATAGTGCTGAGCATGTGAAATATTCTTGCATAATATGCATCTGGTTTTGATGAGACCAATTTAAACATTATCAGTGTATTGACATCATTGATCATTCAGGTTTTACATAGCTAGCTTATTGCACTGTGCAGTGAGCATTATGTCTTTTTTCTTTAGTCATATTAGTATATAGTGCAGTTATATAATTAATATCTGCCTCAGATCCCATCACTTCCCAAAGCAAATGATGACTTGACCTGCGACTTCTGCAAGCAGCTTGTGGAGCATGTCAGGCAAATGTTTGCTGCAAACGCAACACAGGTTTGTTTTATTTATTTTTAATATGGAAAATGCATGCCTATATACTCTGGTTACTTTCAGATTAGTTTAGCACTGAACGTGCATATATTGCTGCTTCTTTTATATTTACAGGAAGAATTTAAGCAGGCTTTGCTGAACTTCTGTGAAGAGCTTGGTGCTGCTGCTGAAGAGGTGAGAAAATAAGTTGTAATGTATGAACTTGCACAATCGATGGAGTATTGTGGTAATTCATAACATTATGCCTTTTTAAAATCAATATTAACTCTTTAAGTGTTTTTGCCGTGCATGTGTAGTGGCAAGTTATTTGTCCAGCAGTTTATTTGCTATACGGTACGTTTTCAAACTTCCGCTTGGAATTTTGCGTCATGCTCACTGGAAAGTGCTACCACCTCCTAAGACTTGGAAAAAGCATTGGAACTGATTGTGCTACCTCCTTTCAGAGATGAACAGAGCTGATTTATAGCATTTGTGTATCGCACAGTCGGCGGTGTCATCGATCAGCAACCCCTTTTGCATAATCACAACGTTGGTGCGCGAAGCTTAATTTTTATCTTTATCGGGACTTCCTTGCAGGGTCCATGGAAGTTGATTTTTATCTTTATTTGTGCTGCTTTTAGTGTGGTTATCGCCAAAACTCTTGAGATATTCTTGTTCTCCTTAGTTACAGAGTTTACTCTTGCCAAAGCAGCCGCATGTAGCAAATGCAGCTTCCAAAGCATTGTTGGAATCGATTCTCTGCACAGCAATCAGCGAGTAGTCATGCAGTCTATGCCGGATGTCTCACTTTGAGTCTAACGTTACCAGGCAGAAAGATGTGTGTTAGCCAAGGCACTCCATCAATGCAAAAGGAAGAGTGTTTTATGTGTGCAGACTCTGATGAGACACTGTGTGCAGACCAGTGTTTCAAAGAATAAAACACTCTGAATTTAGTAAGATTGAGCATTGTGCAGTTCTGAGTGGTATTGACACCAAGGTGTTCATAAAGTTAAGCGCAGCATTGAAATGACGAGGATTGGACAGGAAAACTACACTCAATTGTTCCCTGTCTCGTCCTCGTCATTTCAGTGCTGGGCTCAGCTTTATGAACATGTTGCACCAACAAGGTCAACAATCTACCTTTACCAAAACATTGTTCCCGGTTTTTTTAAAATACTTTGTTCTTGACTTCACACATTTGGTTAATTAGACAGTCAAAAGAGATAATCATAGTGTGTTGTCATGGGCACCTCAGTAGAAGTAGTGTGCCGTGGTTAGCACAACTCCTTGTGTACCCTTCAATATTAAAGACTTTCCATGTAGCCATGAAGCTGGGGCACATCTTTACATTGCTAAAAACTAAGGCATAGACAGTTGAGCTCACTTTGTGAGCATGCTTCAGCAAATAGTATGAAGCTTGGAAGCCCTGAACATTAACAGATGTCCTCAGGTTATTGTGTAAAGTATGATAGTTCGAGAATGTTTGGCATGATTGAAATTTGGGTGAGTTGGTTCAGATTCATTGTTTGAAAATGCCCCACCCTTCTATCAGTTTACATGAAACTGAGATAGGGTTCATATATGAACATGTGCGAGCAAATGACGTGCTGATTTAGGTAACCCTCTGTTATCGCTTGTCTTGCGGGGGAGACCGATATTGCATTAATGAAGGTGCATTCTGAAAAAAAATTTCAGTTGTTTGTAACACTTTGTCCTGTGTGTTCTACCTTTCTTTGTGACTATCTTTCCACATATTTTCTAGCAGAATATTTGATTGCGTGTAATTTCAATACATGTGCCTGTTGTTTTGTGCAGATCGGATTATCGTTTTTCTTGCTTTAGAGTTGATGGAGAAGTAAACAATGTTAATGATGCAAGTCTTACAGATACTGCGTACATTCAACTATTTTTGTTTTTGTACATTGGTTTAGGTTATCTGCATACTGATTCGAATGCAAACTTTGGAAAAAATTTTTCCTGTCAGTTCGCATTATACTGGCAATTGGAGGCGCCCCTTGAATTTGTAATGCAAACTGTTGCGTATATGTGTGCGTGTGTGTGCATATAGCACATGAAGACAGAAGCACTGATACATGCAGTTTAGTAGTCAGGATACTTAACCAAAACCAAACCAAAATTTCAATGTGAACTGAACTGGCATGAGAACCTTGCCATGTAACATGCTCATTATGGCCATGTTTATAATTGTACTTGCAATAGCTGTTTTCACTTAATTTCACTACTTATGTTAAAATGAAACATCGATTGTTGGTTTTGTTCTGCCAATAAATAATCTTCTTTCACCTCCTGACAAAAATTAAGGATGTGTCAGGTGCTTGACACAACACTTGATGGGAAAATAAACTAAATTCAGCAAAAAGCTACCAAGTATAAGTCCTGGTAGCCTTAAGTGCGCTTTCTTGAGCGTTTTCCAGGCTGGAACTGGAGTGAAATGAAATTAACTTCAACCATACCAATCTCGTACCTTTTTAATGTTTGACTCACTGGTTGTAATGTTTAGTTGATTTGAACTTGTGTTTTGCGAGTTTATCATTATTTATTAATTTTTTTATTACAGTGCCAGAGTCTTGTTGACAAGTACTATGACACCGTGTACACTTACTTCCTTGATGCCCTTGTGAGTATATGCCGCGATAAATGTTTTCCTTGAGCGTGCTGCTAGTCTTTGCAAACCGTCATAGGCACTGATGTAATAGATATTTGTTCTCTGGTAGGACCCAGATGTTTTCTGTCATACCATTGGCCTGTGCTCCAACAGTGGCATGAAGTCTGAGGAGAAGGCTCTAAACAAACTTTTCATCAAGGCAATGCAAGGTGCACTCCAGCAGAAGGTGATCGGCTATGGCCTCTTCCCTTTCTTTTTTTATACTGTGTCCTCTTTTACTTATTTAGCTTTTTTACCTTTTATTCATCCACAATACCACTGGCCTTAAGAACCCCAGCAGGAGGGGAACAATCATACATATAATGTACGAGCCACATCTGCACATTTCAGTCGAAAGAAAAAGTGCTAGAGCATTTGGTAAGGCCCTGTACGGTGAAAATAACATGAAAAATGTTCATATACAGTAGACTCCTGGTAAACGAAACCTGAAGGTACCACGAAAATGTTTTACTTAACTGGATTTTTCGCTTACTGAGAGATAAGCAGGGGTGCAGAATCACAAGTACGAAAGCAATTATATTAGAGGCACTTGTTCTTCTGTTAAAGCAGCAAGTTAGTTTAAAAGTTTCATTTACCGAGAGTCTGTCATATATAAACACAGCTTAATGGAATCCTTATAGTTAGTTACCTGAAGAACATGCTAACGAAGAGGGCTTCATCCTGGGGTTATTTTTTTTGGGAAAAAACTGTGTTGGTAAACTGTGCTTTCTGAAAAAAAAAATGGCCATACAGAGTGCTGGAGAGTGTGACAACTCTTATGACAACTTCCATTAAAAAAACAGGAGTAGAGGGGTTGTGCAGTGAGGAGTGGGGCAAAGAGGTCTGAGAGCAGGGCTTCTCGATCTGCTACTGGAATGTGGCACGCTTCCAGAGTGCAGGTGAGATGATGACTAATGGGGAGACACATACCGTGGGATCAAGACATTCGAAGCGTTGACATTCCCTGCAGGACATCAGCAAAATACTATGCCTAAAATCTGTCAGTCACACGTTCGGCATTATCCGAATTTGCAGTTGCATGGTATGTTTGGGCATCCAACAAACGTAGCTGCGTACTCTTTTAAGCCGTCCTCGTTGCTACCAGTACGAACGACACCAATATGACCAAGATCAGGGGTGCCATTCATGTGTAAAACTACACATGGTTGCTATCTATTGAAGCAAAATGAAAACAAAAAATATGGAGAATGCAATGTTCAAAAGTCAAGTGACTCGTCACACTGCACTTACTCCTCTTTTCAGACAAGAGTGCTACTAATTGCCCCTGGTTTCTTTCAGCACTGCAAAAGTGCTTTTGCGCTACCACTGGATGACAGTGCTCCTTCTCCTGTTCGATTACTGAAACACGCTAGCTCTGAAGAGTGCACTTTCAGCGTGATTTTGAGTGCTCCTGTTCTTCCAATGGAATTCTCCATTACTCGGTTATTGGTTTTTAGAGTTCAGAATCCATCTATACTGACCAATCGAGATGGAATATTGCAAGTATTGAATGCAACCTTTTTTCCAGTGTAACGCTACTATATAGGTAGATGCTATTTACTCTCATTAATGAAAAAACGTGCACATGGAGTCGATGTTTTTAAGCGCCTGATCCGTTGCTTCACATTTTTTAACTCCTTTCAGCCTATCTAAGAATTGCGGGCTTTGCTTTTTTTTTTGTTTTGTAGCACTGTTTCTCCAAAGCTGAATAAATTGCACTCCCCGGCATATAAATTAAATGTCTCCTACTAAAGCATGAATAAAATTATTTTTACTCTCTACCAGTTGTGCTCTGCACGTAGAACTGGGACTTTCTTCTTTTTCTTTTTAGATTTTTTGCACACCTAATTTTAGTGCATGAGTGTCCTTTGAAGCTTGAAAACTGGCTCATGTCTTATATTAAGTGTGTCACTTTAAACCATATATATAGTCCTAAATTTAGTTGTAAATAACGATGGTATGCCCATGTTTAAGAAAAATGTTGATATGTGGGGTTCGTTGTCTTAAAACCACCATATGATTATGAGAGATGCTATAGTGGAGGGCTCTAGAAATTTTGACCACCTATGGTTCTTTAACATGCACCTAAATCTGAGCACACAGGCCTACAGTATTTTCGCCTGCATCGAAAATGCAGCAGCCGCAGCCGTGATTCGATCCCTCGAAGAAAAATGTTAAGAACTTTAAGGGGTGATGCTACTCGAAGACACTTTTTTTAATATTCACTTTAGAGCAATGAAACTTGTGCTGTTTATAGGACTTTTTATGTCGATTTCAAGTATACAATTAGTTTTCTTGGAAGGTAAATACTTTTAGTTCTGCAACATGACAAAGTAAAAACCTTTCCCCCCCCCCCCTCTTTCCATTACTAAACTTTCATAACTTTTTACCATTGATAGTTTATATTTAAAATGAAGTGTAGAATCCAGAAAACTAATTGGGAAGTGCATAAAAATTGTGTATTAGACATGAAAAATAATAGATGTGAGAAAGTCCATAATTCTCTTGCCCTAATAAAAGATTACATAGTTTTTGATTACATAATAAAAATACTGAAAGTTAGACAAGATAATGACATTTCTTGTGCTTCGGAGAAAATTTGGGCAATATTTCTTCACATCCGAGCACCAGAAGTACTCGAAAAAGGAGGGGCACATTTTAAAATATGGCAATATCTGTATTTTGAGCAAAACGAGCTTTAATGTGAAAGTTGAATGCTTATTTATGAAAGATGTCATATATGCCATGAAATTTGCACACAAAAAAGAACAATGCTTCTTGTAACCACTGCCACTAACTAAAATGTGCCAGCACCACAAGTTTGTCCCTCACGGCTCTTTAAAGCTGACTCCTCAGAGATATTTCGTTCACAGACAGGGCCATGAAATGCTTGCCAAACTTCTTCCGCTCCATCTGGCAGAGCCTTGCGCCGACTGCAATCTAGGGAGAAGTTCGACAGGACTTCGAAATCTAAACAAAGTCCAGTGTCGAGGAACACAACAGTGCTGATGCCATTGTGTCTCTTGTGGCTGCGTTTGTGCCATGTACTGTCGTATGTAACGGCCATATTGTCCCCGCTGACTTCCCTCACTGTCAGCTCCCTTGACCTCGCAAGATTGGCGCAGATGGCATCCGTTGCCGCATCATAGGCTTTCTCACGTTTTTCGACTTGCATCTCCCCTTTAAGGGACCAGAAACTGATTTTTTTCGACCCAGTTTTTTCCAGTGCAACAGAAAGCTTATCCTTTGTAGTGTTGGCAGCTTTTATTCCACATTTATTTTGAGCTTCAGAACTATTTTTTAAAATAAAAAGCCATTACAATGAGACGATCTGGCTTTATACAGCTTCTCTTTATTTGTACCTCAATGCATGCACCTGCACCCTAGGATGTTGAATCCGTGTCGTGGATGGCTTGTCCCGTTGTCGTTACTCTCTCGACACACAAGCCAAGCCAAGTCGCCGAAAACCTTGGTGCGCATATGTGCGGCTGTGTCGACTAGCAGTACACATCCTTTCTCAGACAAATTGTAGATAGATAAACCACGTCCCTCAAAAATCTTAGCGACCCGGAAGCCTGATGCACGGTTTCATGCACACAGAAAAGTTGCTCAAAACACACTAATGAGCATGGGATTATTAGGTCATGCGAAAGAAGGGCCACTTTAATGCGTACTTATAACGGGGGCCTATATGTACATTTCTGTGGAGTATTATATTTTACTATAAAGAAGCAAACATATTTCAATACCAACAGTAAAATTATTAACCACGTACACTAGTTTACGGTCACATGACATGGCACGATGGATTATTGAAGTTTCTGCTACCGGGTGGTGCCACAGGCCGTTTTCGCAATAATAAATGAAGAAAAAAACATGACTTCGCTTTTCGCGAGAAAAAAAATGCCAGGCCTGCGCGGTAGGCACAGCACAGTCACAGCGAAAGCTAGAAGAGCGAAATTTCAAAGCCTTTTCAAAACACTCATTGAGTAACTACTGCAAGCACATTTGCTTGGTACCAACTAGGGCATCAATAATAAACTTTTGGGTAGTAGGCCGGCATTCGCTATGCTATTTTTCGTCATTCTTCTCAGAAGCGCGGTATCCACTAAACACTTGTAAGGAATTTTGTGCCAATTGTCCATGCAGTGGCTGACGACGATGAGGACTTATGGCTGAAGTGGGTATGCACTGCAGTTAATAGGGGAACAACAAGAACAAGTTTTTGTGATGGTTTGGAGCATCGGACGGCCCACTCGTTATGCTATTCGCATTGTGCGATGACTGGTTGTTTTTACGCTGCTGTAAAACGCTTTATAAGTCGTATTAACGTGATTGTTTCTTGACATCAAGCCTGCCTAAGGCAAGTTTGACAAGTCGCAAGCACCGGTGTAGCTCAGTGGTAGAATACTGGGCTTGCACCCAAGGGACTCAGGTTCGAGCCCCACGGTGCCATTGTTGCTAGGTCATGCCTGCCTAAGGCAAGTTTGACCACAAATTACAAGCACTGGTGTAACTCAGTGGTACAATATTGGGTTGGCACCCAGCCGACCCGGGTTCAAGCCCCACTGTGTCATGAGTGCAAGGTTTTTTTTTTTTTTCGAATTTCACGCGATGTGGCTATGGACACCGGCGGCGGCGGCGGACAACAACAACTGCACGTGACCCGAAAAGGGATCTCGTAACAGCTTTCACTGTTAAACAGGGTTGGTTTGAGTTGGTATGAGGAACAATTTTTCCATCCGTGCAGTCGTCTCATTTCATGTTCTGGACAGTTGCCGGTCCCTTTAATATAAAGTATGAATTACAGTACGTTTATGCATGTCTTGGAACAGCATAAACCTGCATATTGATTCTGCTGATGTTGTGACGTCTACAAATGATAGTTGCATGAATATGTTTTGGTAAATTAACGTTAACCATACTGCTTGCCTTCAAAGTTTTGTGAAACACTATGTAGAGATAGTATTGTAGATTTCCTGTTTAGTACAAAAGGCATGATATAGGGAACATATTATTAATGATACTGTTTTTATAATCAAACCTGCCGAAGTCAAGTTAAAGATAGATTATTTACGAAAGGATGTTTTCTGCTCTTTTTAGACAATGCATCCAAAATACTAGCAAATATTTTACCCCTGAGCGAAAACAGGCACTAAGTATGAGCGCAAAAACTTGTGTGTTGTGATTCCACCTTCATCTATTTTTTTTCTTTGTACCCAAGTATTGGTATATAATCCATTGTTTTGACGGAGGTGATGATGTAGTCTTTGTTTCAGAGTGATACTATTTATAGTAAGATGTGCGGTAGGTTCACTTCAAAATTTTCTCTGGGGGCACAGCTGGTACTACTGCTTTGAAATTGGCACAGACTGTATAATTTTGAAAACTTGCAATTGTGTCAGATGCTGTACTTCATGTTAAGTCATTTCATTTCAAGTTTACAAGGTGGTTTTTGGATTGCCTCTTATTCCACTAAAAAAAAAAAAAAAACACGTGCTACTATATATGAACATAGAAAATAGGTAAGGCTGTATTTTTTGGAAAGGTATGTATATGTAGTGCCTTGAGCATCAGTGATATATTTAGTGAACCTGGTTGTTTAGTGAATCTAAACTACTTTGTATGTTTAGAGCAGTACTACTATTTAAATATAAATTGAGCTGAATTGGTATAGTGGCTCCAGGATTTTTGAGCTGGGCAATATATGTATGTATGTGTGTAAAGGAAGGAAGGAAATGTATGTTAAAGGCTCTTTTTATCTTGTTAGATGCAATATAATGAGATCTAACCAACAATAATGCAATGAAAGTATAGGAGAAGTTATTAGACCTAATTGTAATCTAAATCTGAAGAAAGAAAAGTAGATGAAAAGATCATTTGTCATGGGCAGGAACCGAACCCGCACCTTTTGAAGGTCTCGGGTTTGGTTCCTGTCCATGGCAAGTTATCTTTTCATCCACTTTTCTTTTTTCGCGTTTACATTACAGTTAGGTTTAATAACTTCCCCTATACTTTTCTTGCGTTATTTTCTGTTAGATCTCATTAATATATATGTATGTGTGTGTAAGTTCAAGGGTTTAAATTTTCTCATGGTATTATCGCAGGGCCACCTCAAGAACCTCAAGGCTGCCAAGAAATTGAAGAGTTACCTGGAACCACAGCATTCAGTTCCTCTCATCAAGGTCTACCCTGCTTTGCCCAAGAAATACTTTGACAACAACCAGTGTAAGTTTTCTTGTTTATTTTGCGCTAGATGTATCTCTGCAATAAAATAAAGATAAAGCATGCAAGTGAATGTAGAGCAGACAAACTACAATTTAAACTTTGATAACTACAGTAGACTCTTTTTTATTAAACAGAACCTGAAGAAACCGTGAAAATGTGTTCCGTTTAATGCTAGTTTCTCTTTTTGATTGATGAACAGGGAGGCAGAATTAAAGCATGGAACCAATAATATTATAGGCAATTCCATTCAAGCAGCAGTTCCTTTTTTTCTTTAAAGCATGTTTTACTTTTAAGACAGACTGTATACCTCAACTATATTTCAAGCTTCTTGTGCACATATCTCGATGGATAGAGGATAATAGGCATAATGGGCACTGGTGTCCGCTTGATAGTTCTGCTGTGTATATAGCATGGCACAGGTAGTGTCTTGCTTATGTGGGTGAATGGCAGCAGTCAATGCTTAGTGGGTCTGCTAGGTTAGTAGATCGTCTGTGCATTGAGTGCAGCAGTGTTATTCAGGGGCCTGAGCCACTTTTTTTAATGAATGAAAACTTTGTAGTTCACGTAGTTCTGTTGTGGAGGTAAATTTCTCCTGTGCCATTGCAGTGGCTGCTGACGACGTTTGGTGCTAGCTCTGCATTTTTCTTTTGAGTATATGACCATCTGTTCCCTCAGCAGAGAGGCTTGACTATGTCATAGTTCGTTGGCATACCAAATATGCAATTGTCTTTGTCTTTCCAGAAAAAATTCTCGTTCTCTGGATAAAAAAAAAGCAGTACAGTCGTACCCCGTTACAAAGAAACTGACGGGGTGCAGGAAAAATTTCATTTCTAGTGAAATCGAAGAAATATAGCTGATCTGAACAAGCAAAACAAAGGAAGAAGTTTCCTTCCTTCATGAGCAGGGCAGTCTCATTGCCATCGCTATCGAGCAATGGCGGCGCGCATGCTTGCTGAACAGCGGCGGTATGGTGGCTAGAAGGAGAGGTGTCAGCATCGTCCCGGCCGCGCCTTGAAAGGAGGCGTGCTGGTATTCTATTTCGCGGTGGAGTTGTGTGCAAGTCGTCACCGTGATCGGTCGAGAGCGCTCGCCAGCCGCTAGCGCGACACTTTTAGTCCCTTGCTCGTGTGCTCGCTAGTCCCAACATCTGCGCTTTGCCTATTTGGACTTGTTCGGGATTAATACGTGCCAAAGTGACCATGCCACAGTGATGGCTAAACAGCAAACTGCTTCGTACCTGGATGCAATGCGGGATGTGTTTCGGCCCGCAAACAAGGGAAGAAAGCGTCTCTCTTTTCTGCTCCCGCCGACGATGAACAGCGCAGGGCCTGGGAGTCTGCCATTCCTCGCGCTGACATACCACTGGAAAAGAACTGCATTGTGTGCAAAGCTCATTTTGACGAAAGATTCAGTGTTCATAGCTACAAGCATGTTATCAACGGGTTCTTAGCAACTTGGGAAAAAGCTGTACCTAAGGAGGGCGGGTTCCTGAGTGAATCAACTGCCGAATGACTCCACGTCACTCTAACCAGCACCTTTTCCTCCCAGCACTATGTCACGAAAACCTTGGATTATAAATACTTGATGACGTCTCGCCTCTGCCAAGACGCGCTTAAAATCTTTTCGGAACTCTGAACCAAATGTCTGGCTCGAATGATCACCCTTCGCTGACACAGTTTTTGATCTCTGTGAATTGCCTCAGTTTTTACAAATTAGCACAGTCACCCCCAAGTGGAAACATACCTTTTGGAGTTCTGAGCAGCCTTTCATGTCCAAGCATTCACAATAATTCAATAAAATTGCAGAATAAGCTTGATGAGCTGCTAGATGTGGGGTGCCTGAATGAGGTTCATGAAATGATTGTTGCTTGTGAAGCCTTTCCTGACCACACTGATCTCATTGGACGCAAAAGTGACTCCTGGATCACTTATTACGTCAGTAGCTATGTGGCCCGGAAGATTGTGAAAAAGACGAAGTGCAACGAATGTAGCAGGTTGTTGCTTCACTCTGAGAATTCCAGCTTGCTTCTGGCAGAATCATGCCTTCTGTACCCATCAGAGTCCTTAACAGACCTGGTCAAAGCTATGGAAGACGCATTCACCTATTGGTTCAGCTTTAACAAGTTGAAAAGTGACAGCATAACAGACCTTACCTCTTGCCTGTCTGTGAAGAGGTTAAATATGGTCGGTTGTGAACACCACAAACTGGAAGTGACAAATCGGATAATTAGATTCTTTACACTGACCAGAATGCATTTTCTCATTGCTGGAGAAAATGTGTACAATCAAAAAAAAAAAAAAAAAGAGGGGAAAAAATGAAGTGCTTCAAGTTGAGACGTATGACTTACCTGTCATAGCGTTAACTCAGCAAACAAGGTTTTATTTTATATTAATGTGCATTACTCACACTGTGTTGTTTCTTGCGATTGTCTTGTTCACATTGTTACAAATCTCCCATTAACAACTGTGAGGTCACTGTCTGGCTGTGTTTCACATATGCAGAAATCAATTTTTTCGTGAACTGATTTGTGACTGTATCTATGTTTGCCAATCAAATCTTAATGTCATGTGTGTATGTATGCCCATATCATCGTATATTTACTGTTTAATTTAGGTGCCTTATTCACTTTCTTTAGCTGAGTTTCCTAGATCTTGCAGTTCTCTTCAACCTTAATGGGTATGTTGTTTGTTTTTCATGTTGTGTTTTGCTTTCGTGAAAATAAATGTCTTGCTTATAAAATAGGACCTTGATTGCACAAATCGTAAAAATAACGGTTGCCAATACTTTTACGTGCATTGATACTTCACGGAGAACACCGCGGCATCAAAGTGAAAACTGCACAGACTTTGTTTTGGTGTCAAGCTCATGGCAAGTCACTTGATACTCTATCTTCTAATCTTCATAGCTGATATACTACAAAGTGAATTGAAAACACTAGTTTTCAGTGCCAATACTCTGCAGCGTGCTGTTAGAATTGTGACAGGTAGACTCTGTTATAATCCGCAGGGTTGCGCGAAATACTTTCAACAAAAAACGACTGATACGTGCACCCGTACGCGAGGAGGGGCATCTCGAAAGAGATCGCAGCGCCGCCTCATCTGGATGAATTCTCGCTCGCTCTCCAGCGCCCCGATGCTGACACATCTCCTTCTAGCCACCATAGCAGCAGTACAGCGGCAGTTTCTGGTGGTGCCAATGCGGGTTCTAGGCTTCGTTGACGAATTTTCAGGCTCTGAAAATGCATCATAATGTTAAAGAAGATTGGGTTTACTGCATAGGAATAAATATCCGAGCCTGGAATTGCATCGTAAAATTTCGTTGAAGCGGGACGATCGAAGAATAAGAGTTCATTGTGGCGACAATATTTATGCATTGACTCCTATGGACTGCTGATGGGGAATCATGAATATTTCATTGTAGCGGAAGTTTTATTGAAGCGGCGTTCGTTGTAGCGGAGTTCGACTGTACTATACAGTCGCTGACAAATTTTTCGGACTCCAAAAATTCAGACTTGTTGGATATTTTGGACCTCGCAAATGTACTGTCAAGGTTCAGACTGCACTAATGCATTTTCACAACTAATTTTTTAGACAAATTTATGTTCTAAAGTTCAATTTTCTAGAAAAAATCGTCTGTTATAAGTTATACCACTTGTTTTTGAAAGCCGCCATGTTGGATGATTTTTTTGTTTGCTTGGTCAAGTTTGGCTTGCAGTGGCTAGTTGTGTGGCCTCCAAGATTGTAAGCACACATAATCTTCCAGTTGCGGAGGCTATTTCTGATCTTTCTTGGCTAGCGAAATTGCAAAACTTTTTTTTTTTTTCTGTCGGCCTTGTAATCATCATTAATATGCCAAAAATTCATGCACGCACATGAAGGTTCAAGGTCGGCTGATGCAAGTGCACTTGTTTCAAATCCATCAGATGCTCGCAAAAAAAAAATAAGGTTGGACAGTTTTCTAACAGACCTCGTATGTTGCACAAAGCAATAGTAATGATTGCATATGGCAATCCAAAGCTCTGATAAATTTAACAGAATTTTGTGGTACCCTCAAGTTTGAATTACTGCATTTGCTCGCGTAATCCTCGCACTCGCATAATTCTCGCAACTCCCACATCGCCCTACAAGAATACGATTTTTTTTCCTCGAGTAATTATCGCTACCCGAAAATCGTCGCAATAATGTCATCTACTTGTTCCAGCCGTTGATAATGATAGCTCGTGCCATCTGGCGCCATCTTTTAAGCATCAAGCGTACTATTGCACGAAGATTCGATTCAATTCAAGCCAAGCCAAAGCGGCAAGTGCGCGTTGCGGCGTGTTTTGTTTGTTGGGTCGGTAATCTTGTCACGTTATGGGGCGATACTGAAGCTACACGGCTGCTTTCAAGTTGGAAGTGATTGATCACGCTCTAAACAACGGCAACAGGGCCGCCGGTAGGCCCTTCGGAGTCGAGTTTTGTGTTCACTACTGGTGACGGCAGCTCCAAGACACCAAGACGCGTTGGGCCTGCCTGTGCCTAACACTGGGATTGATGGTAAACTTTATTTCTTCAGAAATAAACTGCAGACGATTGTGTTAAATGACTTACTTTTTGAGGGCTCTTCTTGAGTGACTAAGGCTACCGCTACGCCCGAAACACCCACAAGCTTTGCGTATGGCTTACCTTTTGAGGGCTCTTCTTGAGTGACAAACGCTACCGTTACGCCCGCAATACCCACAAGCTTTGGTATTGTAATTCTCGACCATTTGCTTGCACTTTTTGTGTCTCAAATAAATCTTGCCTTGTGTTGAACCTCTGCTTTTATTGTTGAGGTAAATTTTAATTAGCACTTCTCAAAGCTTGCTGTTAGTTGCTGGTGTAAGAATCCCAATCTGCGGCCTCTTCATTTTCTTTTTCGCCTTGTATGTTTTTGTGGAAAGTTTTCCCCACGTAATTCTCGCTTCCCCCAACTTTGCATCGGTTTTCCGCCAAAAAAAGTGCGAGGGTATTGCGAGTAAACACAGAATTGAGAATCTTGCTGTATCGTTAAATATTCATAGCTATAAATTGCTTTATTTGCACTTGTGTCACTTGTGTCGTAGTTTGCATACAACTATAAATGTGATAACAGTGGCTTTGATACCACGGAAGAGAGTGGAAAAAAAAGATGCGCTGTAGTAACTATGGCAGTATGGGGCACGCCGCTGTACACTAAAATGCAAATAATGTGGACAGTCATGAAAGTTCTTCATTTTTGCCTTTTCAGCCGACATTGCATTTCCTATGGTAAAGACCTTCCCTGCCCAGCAAAACTCGAGAGGTACGCACTGTTAGATTCTCTTGCTTTGTTTATGTCGACTGCTTGTGGGGGTTGCAATACAGGTCTTAGTCTGACCACTGGATAATGAAATAAGCTTTTACTAAAAAAATTGTCTTAGTTCTTGGGCTTCCTGCAAAGTTGCAGCCACAAGCCTTATTGCTGCCAGAAGCCTTATTGGGTGTTCGGTTTATTGGGTGTTTAGTATTCTAGAAATATAAATGCTTTTTTTATAGGCTGCTAAGCATAAGTCTGTGAGGTTTTGCTGTGCTAATCATATGTATATTAAAAGTAATATAATATACATAAGTATATTCTCCCATTATAGGCTGATGGATTCACTAATGATATATATTGCCTTTCCTTGCATTCTTCTGGGTTGAGTTTGTAGTACTACAAAAATGAAATTTGTTCAGAGTTTATCGTCCTGTTTGTTCATTTACAACATTGTAATTTAAGCGTCGCCAATAAGATGTTTAGAAGAAATTGCTGCCAAAGTCAGGTTTGACTGGTCTAGAGAATATGTTAAGTGTATTGAAGCCATTTTATGATTATTGTGGGTGTCTGCAGTGCTGGGCTAGCATTTTGTGAGTATGCTGGCACAGCACTTCAGTCCTCTGACTTTGTCAAATTCTTGTGAATTGAGTCTCTAGCCAAAACCATAAGATTTGAGTCGTACTTGTATAAAATATTCCAGGAATTAAGTTCTGAATTAGAAAAAAAAAGTCGCAGCTTTGCCGCAAAGGTGAAGCAATGAACGCGATAGCAACAATTCGAAAGGTCATATGCAGAATAGAAAGCAGATCGAAACGTGCTCGGCATTTCTCGCGCACAAATTACGCATGAAACGTACTCACAGGTATGGATGCACGCGAATAAGCGTGTCATTTGTTACTTTGCTGAGTCTGAAAAGTGTGCACTTTTCGCAAACGGAGGCTGCAATGATTGCAGTGACCTTTGTGTGCCCGGCAACTACAGCAGAATCGTTACACGTAAAGCCCAAAGCCAGCCAAGGCATACAATCCTCCCCTCCTCCCCACCGCAAGATAAGGACGCGCGAGGGAGCATAGCTCCCCTTCTTTAAGCTGGGCAAAATACTCATAGGAAAATAGAGGGGCCGCCACTGCGCGATGTGGCGACATTCGTTCATTGTGCCATCTTTCTTGTAATACCGAAAACACAACAGCGGTAAGTGGTAGATATAAATAGCTTGCTGTGAGCTTGCTGTGTGAACAGTGAAGAACGTGGCTCAGTGGTTAACGCCTCGCTTTCACGACGCAGAGGTTCCACGTTCGATTCTGCGTGCCGGAGTGCTTTTTCTGTTTTTTTTTTTTTCCATTTTCATACATATAGATACGTATAGATATAAGGTGCATGACATAGACCTCGACGGCAAAATCCAGCCGAGAGTGTCCATATAATTGCTATCGCAATAAAATGATTGGATATATGTAGTCGAGCCCAGATATGTCAAATCTATAGGAGATCACACACAAAAAAGTTCTGTATATATGGAATGCGTTATTACAGTATTTTATACATAAAAAAAGTATGTTTCACTGTGCGGGCGAAGCAATGAATGCAATAGCATCAAATTGGAATGTCATTTGAAGAATGGCAGGCAGATTGAAATTTGCAGTGCGCTCGCTGCTCATGCACAAATGCCGCACAAAAACAGCATACACAGGACGAGAGTGAACTAACAACGTTCACAACTTGAAACTTTAGGCACTGCTCAAACAAGAGCGACACATGAAATTTACTTTACAGGTACAGACAGGACGAGTGCAGACTAACAAGCATCTCCAGTTGTTACTTAACTGTTTAAAAGCGCGCATTTTTCACTAACGAGAACTGCAGTGAGAGAAGTGACCTTCGTGCGCTCGGTAACTACACTCAAACCTCATTATACAGTCGAATCTCGATAATTCAAGCTCGAAGGGGCCTGAAAATTTGTTCGAATTAAAAGAAGTTCGAACTAATGAAAGCTAAATAAACGGAGAATTGTCCAGTGCCGACACTTTCTAAAGACGACGACAACAACGACTGCCTAGCGAAGCCTCCCGCTCTCCGCTACGCAGCCGCATATTGGCCAGCATGTGACGAGAAAGGAGGAGCGTCTCCACACGGAGAGAAGCAGATCGGCATTTGAGAGAAAACTAACACTCCACGGCAGCTTTTTTTTCTCCTCTCTTCGCACACGTCGTTGAAAAAAAGAAGAGTTACGTGGCAGGAGAGGGAAAGGGGGAAGCATAGCACTGGTGCGTGAGAGACCCCCCCCCCCCCCTCAAGACACAGAGCCGTGCTCCTGCAAGGGGCAAGGGCTGCAGAAGATAGTGCCTTTTTCCTTTCCTTCAACTACACATTTATTCAACCCAGCGACAGCTTTCTTTTTTCCTTCTCTCTCTTCGCGCGCGGCATTGGAAGGAGAAGGCTCTTTACGTGGCAGGGGCGGAAAAAGGAGAAGCGCGACACAGGCGCGTCGCAGATCGGCATTTGGGAGAGAGGAAACATTCCACCGCAGCCTTTTCTTTGAAATGTCACAGCTGCCGCCACGTGATTGGGCGGGGTGCCTAATCCCACGGCAGCATTTTTGGAGCGCGGTATGTTCGAATTAACCATCAAAAGTGCTTGGGCGTTCGAATTACTGGGCTTTTTCAATAAACTGGAAGTTCGAATTTAGCGTGTCTGAATGAATGAGATTCGACTGTAACAAAGTTGCATCTTACATAAAAATAAGTTCGTTATAACCAAAAATTTCGTATAAGGATATATTTCTAACACAATATTTATTGCAAGATTGTTCTTCATTTACTCTATTTTACTTCGTTATATCTGGGTTCGTTACATCGAGGTCTGAGTGTACAATGCGATCGTTCCGGTGAAAGCTCAAGACATAAAGTTTTGCGTCACTGCTAGATAAGTGCTCGCCACCGTTAAATAAGCACGCCTGCGCAATGGTGTCTTCCTACCGATGGGCAAAGTGCAAGTAGGAGATCAGTGCGTGAGTATGCGTTGCAACAAGCAGGGCACCATGCGTGCCCTTTGCATCATCTCGTTGGTAATGCTGAGAACATGCTATTTCCCTCCAGATGACATACTGGCAGCAATAAGTGGTGTATGTAAATAGCTCGACGTTCGAATGGTGATGGACATGCACTTTCAAGTTCAACGGTTAACGCCTTACACTGTAGACTGAGAGGTCTATTCTTCGATTACTCATTTCAAAAACATTTTTCTAAATTTTCTTTCTGGCTTTTACAAATATATATACTATACAGAGTTAAACTTCGTTATAACAAAATTGGAAGGCCACTGCAATTTGCTCATTATAACGAATATTTTGTTATAGCCACAGGGGGTATTTACTGCAAATATTATGCACTGTACTTTCCCAAAACAAATAACAGGCGAAATAGTGTCTCGCCTCACGGTGGTATGCAACAAAATAACCGCATTTCGCAAATAAAAAGAGAATGCCACGCACTTGTTTTCTTGCACTTCAAACAGACTTAGCTGCAAAAAAATTTGTAATCGGACGCTGGTGCTTCTTCCTAATGCGAATGATGGCTCGCTCAGCTGCGGCCGCAATGTTCAAGCCATCTTCTCCACCCCCGTGAGCACCGAAGTAGCCGCGCAGTACGTCCACTGCGTTTCATGCCTCCGACATTTCCGGCATGTTGGTCGGCCGCACAGCGGTCTCCCGTTCGTCGACAGAGTCATTGTCGCTGGTCTCATCCAGATCGTTGACAGCGCGCACAATGTCGTCATCGGGGAGCTGTTTCGTTGCCACCACTTCAGAGTCCGCACTCACATAGTCGCAGAATGACTCGCTGTCGGGCACGACACCGGCTTCACGAAGTGCCGTTCATGATGCCGAGACTTCGTCCAATGTGGCGAAACCGTCCGGTGCAGTGGGCTCATTTAATGATAGCTCATCGCTGGCGTTTGGTGCAGCGGCAAATGAAGCATGTTGAAAGCAATTTGCATTTGTGGTTGCAGTCACACTCATCCACGTTGCTAGAAGCATTTCGAGAGCAGCGTACGAGTCAGCATCAGTGTCCCACTTCAACCTCATGTTGAGCAGAAGCCTGTCAATCATGCGCTTGCTGTAACCTGCCTTCAGAGACATAATCGCGCCTTGGTCAAGCGGCTGTATTCTTGCTGTGCAGTTGGCAGAAAGGAACAGCAGCTCGATGTTATGAAGTGCGGCAGTGGTGTGGTGGACGGTGCAGTTATCTTAAACAAGCCACACCTTGCGGTTCGCTTTTGCCAGGTTCTCGTCCTATTCCATAAGCCATTTTACGAAAATCTCCCTGGTCATCCAGGCTTTGCGATTGGCCTTGTACTTGACTGGGAGCTACTTCTTCCCCTTAAAGCAGCGGGGGGATGTACTTTTGCCAATTATGAAAATCGGCAGCTTCTCGGAACCAGTCATGTTGGCACAAAGTAGCGCAGTGATCTGCAGCTTACTTTGTTTTCCACCATGGCATGGCTCACCTCTGAGGGCTAACGTCTTATGGGGCAACATCTTGAAAAAGAGAGCAGTTTTGTCCGCGTTAAAGATGTCCTCCACGCTAAAGATGTCCTCTTGGGGCCACGAAATGACCTACGGTCGCAATGCGCGGCTTGTAGGCTCCTTTGCTTCTTTCTCTACAGTCGCACGCAGGACTCGTCCACATCGTGCCGTCTTCCCGCTTCGCGATTTCCGAATTCTTCGGCGACGGCGATGATCTTAAGCTTTTGATGTGCCGTGAAGGCCTGCCGCCGTACGCTACTCATGGTGACGGAACAGATCGGCTTAGTCTTGGCGAACGGGTCGAGATGTGGAGAACTAGTGGTATCAGCGAGGTAAAGAGCGCCCACACTCGGCGACAACTTGACAGCACTACCCCTTCTAGTACACTGTAACAGCACCCTGGAAACAGAAGAACCGAAACGCATGCCTGCTACCGAGTCAAAAAGTAGTACATTAATTTACTGATAATATCTCTCTAGGCACTATATTTTATTTGCCTTGCTGAAATAAATACTGCTTTATTTATTATGGAACTTTCTTAGACAGCACCACCTTTTCGGCAAGCCCTTTCCAAAAGTAAACATGGCGTCCGTGACGTAGAAACATGTGGAGGGCCACTGAGCGTCCAAAAAATATACTTGTGGTATGACAGTGAGATTTTACACTGAACAATGGAATTGTCTCTCCCTAAATGTTTTTCTAAACGCTTCAACGATGCAAGCAAGTGAAACCAAAATCTATCGCAAGCTGCCGTGCTACTTGCGGAGCAACACGAATTTGCGGAAACCGCCTCCGTAGCTTTCGCTACACTGGTAAGGGGCTTCACAGCACAACACGCATTGCTGTGAAGCAGCACTATAGGAAAAACCTCGCGTATTATTCGCACCTCCACTTTGCCACTGAAATTTTTGGGTTTTTGGTGCGGGTTAGACGCGCGAAAATACAGTAATGATTTACTCAAAAACGAGGTGTGAACTTCAGGGTACCGCACTTTATTTAGTCTGTAAACTTGTCTTGCTTCTTGCTCGCCGTCAAGTTCCAGTCATCCTTAATATTCAATTTCCTGCCATATCAAATAATATCCAGTATTAAATTGCAATTTCGTGCCTCTGGACGGTTTGAATAATGGAGACTGCCGAATGCGTTTGTGCGGCGCCATGGTCCAGTGGAAGTGGAGGAAATGGTGTCCGACTTGACGCCTCAAGCTCCCGTCGAACTATACCAGTCGCGCTGTCGTGCATGGGTGGTGCGGCACCGAGATCGGTGCAGGTTGATGTAACAGCCGTGTTTGGTAGTCGCGCAAATTGAGGCAGAACATGGTGGCTTTTGGCCTTTTCGAAGTGTCGGTATTCCTTGATAATTATCGTAACGTTGGTGTACACAAGCAAGTTGAAGGCGTCGTCTGCGATGCCCTTGAGTATGTGGCCTTGCTTGTCATTTTCTGTCATTTGCTCAACCACTTTCAGACATAAGGCGAGAACGTCCTGTATGTACGAGAAATACGACTCAGTTGAGGACTGCTTACGAGTGGCGAGTTCTTTTCGCGCTTCCCCATTTGGCGACCGAGCGGGTCCCCAAAGATATCGCGTCTTCGCTCCTTGAAGATATCCTAGCTGGTGAACTTGGTCTAATGGGCGTCGAACCAGACACGTGGCGTGCCGTCCAAGTAAAATATTACATTGGCGAGTATCATGGTAGGGTCCCATCGGTGTGTCTGGCTAATACGCTCGTACATACGGAGCCAGTAGTCAACGTCAAGCCCAGGTTGTGCGGAGAATGTACCGGGATCACGGGGGTAGGGCATCGTTGGGTATGTAGTGGCTGGAGTTACAGATGGAGACGCTGAAGGGTTGTTGTCATTGGTAGCCATGGCCGAAGACTGAATGGTGCGGCCACTGCAAAGCTTTGTGGTGAAGACGGGGAACGTTATGGAAAAGAATATACACTGTATCGACGAGGCTGGGAATTAGATGTATTTAAAACCAGCGGTAATGGTGTGACTGGTTCACCAGTGATCGAGTGGAGACAACTCTTCGTCTTCCTCGTCAGGCACACACGCATGTCACCCCCTACAATATAATGTGCATGCATGTAGCAATATTATTTAAGCTTTTCAAGTAAGAAAACTTGGCTCCTTTGGCCACAATGTTGATTGACACAGAATGCCTATGCAAGCTTTGTAGCATGGCAAAAGCTTGGTTAGCGACGACAGCGAAGGCGTTGGCACATTCATAACCTCACCGCTGCACTCCCGCGGCAACGGAAACGGCAGCCAAAATCTCGGCTTTGATGTACTCGGAAACGGCAACGTCGCCATCTGTACCAAAGAAGTCGCTACTGTTCGACATGGTGCCAGAAACACTTATAAGTCGCAGAATTCTCTGAGGCACCGTACGCCGTTGTCAGCGGTCATGACGCACCCGAAGTCATCACCTGGCCCGCAAGGAACCTTAATGACAGTGCTTTATTTGACGTCACTTCAAGCACTAGTTATAATTTTTATCGCTACGTGCGGGTCAACGTTCAGTTCAACTTCCGAATGAGGATTTTTCCAGGAACGATACGAGAAGTGCTCAAGACCACATGGTGTAAAAGACTCGGTGCTGAGCTCGTTCGAGTTCTCACTGTTGACAAGTTGGCAATATCGATGTCACTGTGGCTTTGTAGCTGGCAGCCACTGCTCTTAGAGGCATTAATGCGAAAAGATAAGAAAAAAAAATGTAGCCTCTGAGACATGCGTTCTGAAACCGAAAACACTGAAAATACAACACCAGGTTGCACATCTTGAAGGCCATGCTTTTCAGGCTCGCATGCCATTGTGCGCTAACAAACAAAGAAGAGAATGCTAACCACATGTGAACAGTGAGATCGCCGAGTCACTTCGCATTCTCATTTCGGTGCCATTGGCAGTCGTTCTTTTGCAAAATACTATGCTCGCACGCCAAGACCTGCAGATTGAGCATCAAATGTACAGATGTACTCGCAAGTGTCCCGCAACGAACCAAATTAGCATGATAGAATACCACTGTTTTTTTGCCGCCTGCGCGCGAAAAAGGATCGGAATTTGTTAGAACGCGGCCTAAAATTGATCAATATTTGCACGGAAAAATGCACTGTCTGGGCTTCGACGCGGTGCAGTGTTTGATATAGAATATGTCCCGCTGTCCGGGAGTTCGATATAACGGTGCACCGGTCCCATACCTTTGCATGGTAAACTCGAGGGGATTTTTGAACTGTTTGATATAGCCAGTAATTCGATATATTCAAGTTTGATATATACGAGATCGACTGTAGGTGGAGTAAACTACTTGCCACTCACGGGGGGCCGAACTGGCACTTTTTGCATGACACATGCAGAGATTTTTTAATTGAGCTACAATGATGATTGTGCTTGTATCAATTACTATTTGTGTTCTTTTAAAGTCTAGCTTTTTCAGTGTTGTTGATTAACAAGTGTTGCCCATTTTCATGTGGAGCAGACTGGATAATAAAAGCATAGTGTTGAAATAATATTGAATTAAATAAATAAACATGTATTTTTTTTATTTCAGTTGAAGATATTTACACCTGTTCTATTTGCAAGGCTTTCATCACCCTTCTTGAGCAAGTCATACCACTGAATGCCACTGTGGTGAGCATGATTTATTGATCAATGCTTTCTTTGCATTGCATTCGTGTCTTTGTGTTATGAAGGTTATGCAGCCAAAGAAAGTATACATGGTAATAATTGTAGTGCTTTTAAGTATATTGTAATTGGGATATAGATGAGAAGAAAGTAAAGTATACAAAAAGGCAATTTGCTGCCGGCAGGTGCTGCACCTGCAAGCTTTGAATAACGTGCTTGATTCTCTACCAATTTAGCTACGATTCTCGCCGTTCATTGAATTGGGTATTTATGTGCACACAGACCTGGTAGGATTAGTTGTTGCTCATAGCCGTGATGGCGAGCGTTTGCTGTTATGGCTACGAGTGGCGCCGACTAGCACTCCCAAATTTGCATGCAGATAAACAAAACACCCGATAAAGTGGGCGGCAGAATGACCACTGCCATAGCTCAACTGGTAGAGCATCAGCCACGTCATCTGACCCGCAAGTCGCGGGATTGAATCCCGTATGCGGCAGCTGCGTTTCCGATAGAGGTGGAAATGTTGTAGGCTCGTGTGCTCAGATTTGGGTGCACGTTAAAGAACCCCAGGTGGTCAAAATTTCCGGAGCCCTCCGCTACGGCATTTCTCATAATCATATGGTCGTTAAACCCCACATGTCAATAAGTTGGGCACATTATATGAAGCTTGCTAGTAAGCAGTCTTTTTGTCCACTTTGCTTTCTTCTCATCTAATTGATTTGATTAATATGCAGTGTTTAATGTCCCAAAACCACCATATGATTATGAGAGACACCGTAGTGGAGGGCTCCAGAAATTTCAACCTTTCTTCACATCTACATTACTGTTACTATAATACTGTTAAAATGGTACAATTAATTCCAATTATACCTTTGTTGGCTTCATTATCTGCTGGTTTTCAAAGGGATTATGTCAAGGTAACGAGCAATTAAAATATCGGTCATTTACACGCATTGTTTTAGCAAAGTATGCATGTAGTTAGGCTAGATTAATTATAAAAATTTTACATACTGTGTACTACTTGGTTTTGAGTTGTAATACCATTATGAACTAATGTTTATTTCGGGTACTGGAAAATTTTCATACTTAGCTCCCCTCACCGCCTCAGTTTTTTATTTAATGGCTGTCCACATGTCTGCAGTAAAAATTTATCATGATTCATTTTTCTTGAAGCTTAAATTTGTTTCATGCTACTATTACTTCTTGCTTTCTGTGTGAACATATCTGTACTCTATTAGAACATGCTGCATTGTTTGTCCTTCTGAATCTGCGCATGGCTATGCTTTCTTTCGCTCAAGCTCACATACCTGTATACCTTTTTTACTGCAGGATGACGTCAAGTTCGTCCTTGACCAAATATGCGAACTGTTCCCTACAGAAACCGAAAGGAACTGTCGAAGCTTTGTTGATAAAAATGCAGAAGTAATCCTCAAGTTCCTGGCAAATGACGTTGCTCCTGCAGTCATCTGCCATGAAATAACCCTCTGTTCATGTAAGTGTCAAACAACCTTGTGCCATGATTTCATATGCATAATTTATTCTTTCTTGGGATCTATACTGTTACAGCTCTTGGAACAGGCAAAAAATAGTAATTGCAAATGCATGTTGTTCATTAGTAAATAGCAGAATGAAGTAGCGTCAAGGCCTCTAAAAACAACTCTAGAAAATTCTTGATTTAAGGCAGGGGAATCTTATTTGATATATTGAATTTCCTTATGATTTCTATGAACTGCTTTCACCGTCACTCTCATTTCCAGCATGGGGTGAATGTAAAACAGGAGTGTACTTCAAGCTCAGACCACCTGCAGTGTAACTGTCGATATGTCATGTTTGAGCAGGTAAATGCATAGAGCCAGATAACATAAATTCACATCCACAAAGTAAAGGACAATCAGCTATTGCCAGCAATGGCAAACAGGCATTTACTTTTGTGTCATAGGGTGAGTGTGCATGTCACATTGACAGTAGTGGCAAATCTGCTTGTGAAATCTTGAAGCATTTTGTGCAACTACTATGCCTTTACAGAAATTTTCACTTGCGTCAGTGTTTATGTCAGAACAAATTAATGAGATTATTGTAAGTTAATGAGTATCTAAATGGCATTGCTTTGCAGCAGCAGTCAAGTAAAGTGTGTAAGTTACAGCAATGTAAGCTTTGGTTGTCTCTGGCCAAGTTCATTGCCAGTTGCCATTACCAGCAACGCCCATGAAGTCTGCTTCTCCTATAACCTGTAAAAATGTAAATGCCAAGAAATTTAGATGAAAGCTGTTAGAATTGTTGGCATGGGTTATCAACGTTTTTTAAAAACTAGAAAATCATGCTGAACAGAGGTGGATTATCTTTTGGGAGTGGGGCATTTTTTGGGTTTTTGTGTTATTTGTTACTCCTTATTACATTCACTTTTTGTTGGGTGATGGTAATTTGCTGCGAACACGAAGTGCTGTATTATTGTGACAGGCGTTTGAGTTAACAATCCAGTTTTGTAGTGATTTGGAGCTTTGACAACCTCTATTTTGACAGCAAAGCTGTTGTAGCTTGCTGTAGTTTGGGCGGTGTCGCCACAAAAACGTCCTGAACCAGCACCCGCTCTCTTCGTGCTCTTGTTCATTGTCATCATCTTCATCCTTTGCTTCGCTTCCAAAACACAAGCACTGATTTCCTCAGTGCGGGATGCAATAACTCTGATGGGAGAGGCAAATGCATTAAAACAGAGAAAAAGAGAAATAGTAGGGGAAAAGAATTTTTTCGCAAAGTGAGATTTCTACCTGTGTTTACGCCACCTGAAGACGAGCGGTTAGGACTGCACAGCATAGCTTTGTAGAGTTCACTATAGCTTGAGGGTGGGAAAGGGAAGTGAGGGAGAAGACAAATTTGTTGGTGAAGAGGAGGGAAAGGAGAGCAGACTGTAAAACATACTATAGAAAGACAGAGAAACTGAGAGAATAAAAAGCAGGCAGAAAAAAAAATAGACTGAAAGAGAGAATCAAAAATATAGAGATAGTGAGAGAAAAGAAAGACAGAAGGAGATGGAAGATAAAGGAGGATGGAAAAAAGAACTGAGGAAGACAAAGAGATAAGGAGGTGAGGGGGAGAAGGAAGAAGTGCCACTGGCTGTGAAGTCCCAGAAAATAACTACAGTAGTGCCATTTGTGTTACCGTACAGGCACTTCCTTTCCTGTGCGCTTTATAGATTGCAAGTGAAGTTAGTCGAGCTGTCAAGCCCGCGGAACATGGCTATTCGCCAAAAAGTGCAGTTCTTTTGCTTGTGCAATTGTCTTGCTACAGCGCCTAAGGCCGCTGTCTTTCTAAGGGATGCAGTAGGAAGATTAGAAATGAATTGTATGAAAAGTAGTGATAACTACGACAATGTATTGTATACACAAGCAAGTAGCTTATTTTCATGGTGTATGACAATGTAAAAATGTACCGTGCATAATCTCTTACTGCGTGAAAGCTTGCTTCTGATGGCGGCATCATTGATAATTTTGCTGTGTTAAGTTGCTATTTTTTAAAAGTGGCACATTAACTTTTTAGAAGATTGTGCGAGCTCCATTTTGCTTGTCTGCATCTGGGTTGTTCAATTTGGTTGGGGTACGGTGCGAGGTCGATCGTGTTTCAGTATGTACGTATGATATTTCTGAATGCTTCAGTATGCCAACCTGCTGTGCCAGTTATAGTAAACACAGTTACAACAATAGTCATTTTTACTACGGTGATAAAAGCCAGTAGTTTTCAGCAGAGCATGCTAGTTCTACTACTAGAAGTGCTGCTGTAACTGTTGGGAGAGGAGGCAGAGACAAAGGTATGAAATTGATGCTACTTCATATTTTTTAAAATCTAGATGGGAGCCGACAGATAGAAACAACGTAGTGGGATAATCGGGGTTAACGGTGGAAGGCCCTCAGACTGGCTGGCCGACGTTTCGATAAGAGGACATGAAGCCATGTCATCCTTGGCGTGTTAGTTTTAAGGGGGTTAGTGGTGACGTGTACTCCTGGTGGTGCCGCATGTCCTTGTTGATAAACGCTGTCTGAAAAGCAAAAAAACTATAAAGAAAGGAGTGCTGTCCTCGCTTCCCTTCAAGTCAGGTGGTAGTGATTCAAAAATTGTTCTGGGAGAGTGGAAAAAAAAAAGAAACAAAAACGAAAAGTTGAAGCGTTGTGCTGTCGGCAACCCTTTGTAGTGGCTGAACGCGGCAACCATCTGCCGGCTCCGAAGCTTCAAGCCCTTTCATTTATTCACGTCTGACGCGGCCACCACTTTTGCAGCATACCGCTCTAATTTCGGTTTTTCTTTTTTCTTTTTTCTTTTTTTATTTTTTCCACTCTCGGAGAACAATTTTGAATCGCTACCATCTGACTTGAAGGAAAGCGAGAACAGCACTCCTCTGCTTTATAGTTTGTTTGCTTTTCAGACGGCAATCATCAACGGGGACATGCGCCACCACCAGGAGTTGACGTCACCACTAACCCCTTTAAATTGAACACGCCAAGGAAGATACGACGCCTTTAAAAAGATGGGTCTTCCTATTGAAACGTCGGCAACACTCGGCAGCCAGTCTGAGGCACTTAACCCTGATTATCCCACTTCATATTTTTCAGGAACTTGAGCCAGCTCTACTACTATGTCATTGTTTGCACATGTAGGGCAGCGCTGGCATACTCTTTTTTAATCTGCCTTACCAAGAAGCCAGTTTTTCAGTGACCTATAAGATGCATTAAAAAAAAGTCGCAGCTTTGCTGCAAAGGCAAAGCAATGAACGGGAAGGCAACAAATTGGAATGTCACGTGCAGAATTCTATGCAGATCGAAACGTGCCCTGCATTTCTCATGTAGAAATGACGCTCAAAACGTGCTCGCTGGTACAGATGAACACGAATAAGCGTCCCGATTGTTACTTCGCTAGATCTGAAAAGCACGCTCTTTTCACAAACGGAGACTGTGCAAAATTTGCAGTGACTGTGCGCCTGGTAACTACTACAGAATCGTTCCGGTGAAAGCCTAAAGCCAGCAGAAACAAACCATCCTCCCCACTGCCAGATAAGGACGCGCGTGAGAGATGAAAGTGCACGCTGCCGCATCTTGACGATGGGGTGACGCGCGCTCATTGCGCCATCTTGCCGGTAATGCTGGAAAGACAATAGTTCCCCCTGAGATGTCCGTCACCAGCAGTAAGGGGTAGATATAAATAGCTTGCCATTTGAATATTAAAGGACGTGCTCTTCTGTGGCTCAGTGGTTAACGCCTCGCACTTAAGTTTCAAAGGTCCCTTGCTCAATTCCACATGCCGGAGTCTTTTTCTGGATTATTTTTCTTTCTTGAGTTTTCATATACAGTGGAGCCTGCTTATAATGAACGTGAGCGTGACGCGGCATCCGTTCGCTGTATCCCGAAGTTCGTAGTAAATGAAACACAGCTTTTAAAAAAGTTGTGAGAGAAAACACAAACTTTTTTTGCCCCAAAAAGTCCGGGATGCACGTGTTTCGAATAGCAAAAGCAATAAGGGCAGTCTCGAGTTCATTTAAAACGGCAGGGCGCTCGTTCGCCAAGGCCCGTGGCATAAGTGGCATGAAGCACTGGCTCCAAAGTTTTGTCTATCTCGCAATTCGTTTCCTCCAAATCGCTCTCGCCACGTACTTCATTCACAATGCCCTAATCCGTGCACGGTTCCGCAGTGTCTGCATCATCGGCCGTAATTAAGCTATCGCAACAGATGTCCCACTCGCTCTCCCAGGTCAGAGTCGACGACGCGCTGCCACAAATCGCCACCGCAGTGGTTCTGTTTGGAGGCTTCAGGCTCGGCATCGGGCCCGACGTTGACGAAGTTGGCCTCACGAAAACAGTTTCGCACGCATGTAGCTGTCACAGCCGCCCACGAAATATTCACCATCTCCACAGCTGAATACCGGAATGCCTGAACCGGCAAGTTGGCTGCCAGGTGGTCAACAGCATTGAGCAAGCACTCCGCAATGCGGCACCTAACGCGCGGAATACGCTCAAGCCAAGCGATCACACTTTCGACGTTTTGTTGAGCGGCAGGAAAAAAAAGCTTGCTAGTCCTCCCGTCTGCCATCCTGATCACACACGCACACCAAGAGCGAGCAAGATGCTCACACGCGACACACATGCTAAAACGCGTGGAACAGCTCTGGGCTCGTTTCCAGTCAGAAAACGAAACTAATTCGAGCCAGCGGAGCGGTGGAGACGGGCAAAGGGGTTGTGATCAAGAGAAGAGAGCAGACTTGCGAGAGAAGGGCAAGGAGTCGCGATAAAGAGAGGGGAGGATGCGGTGGGAGGGCGACCTTGAAAACCAAAACACATTAGAAGGAGGCAGGCTGGGTAGCTTGCTTTTACTTGCACGTAAAAAAACTTTGAAAGAGTGCATGGCCGCCTGAATCGGTGCGTGCGCGGCGGTGTTCGAAGAATTGGCGGCCGTGGTCGAAAAATCGTTTTGTTGCACCGGTGAGCTTGCGTGGAGAGTTTGTGCGTGGAAGGCATGCTGAGCCAAGTGCGAAGGGAGCGAGAACAAGTCCTAAACACTAAACGAATCACAAATGATCAGTCGGTAAGGTAGCGTACGCGCGTGCACTAGACACAAACTATCAAATACAGTCGGTGGTCGACGGTGTTGGCAAATGGTCTGGTCACTCCAGGCCGGCGACGCCAACGACAGTACCAGCGATCAAAAACAGGGTAAATGGCCGACTTTTTTTGGAAAGATCAGTAGCAGTGGGAAAACGCGGGCCTCGTCTGGCAATGCGGAGTGCTAAGAGTAGCGGGGGGGACAAAGGACGGAGGGGTGTGTAACAAAAAGCGGTCGGGGAGAGCGGCAACTAGAGGGGCCTGGAGGCAGGGTCGGCATTTAACAATAAGAATGTATGGGCACATCGCCGATGCCTGATCGGTGGTCGAAATTGGTTTCCCGGGAAGTCGGCAGACCACTGACTCCATTCGCTGTAACCGATCAGCGGCGCTCGGAGACGTTCGTTGTAAGTGCGATTTTGTGCCATTGAACCAATGTATATTTTCACGGTCACGTGGATATTGTTCGTTCTAAGCGAAAGTTCATTTTAAGTGGGGCCGTTATATGTGGCCTCGACTGTATATAGATACGTATACAGATATGGTGAGTAATGCAACACCCATGTCGACGCCGGTGGCAAAATCTAGCCGAGAGTGTCCATATAATTGCCATCGCAATAAAAATTATTTTGTTAGTTGTACTTGAAGCTGATATTTAGCTTATTATTTACAAAGCCCTAATGATATTTTCTTTTTTATTAGCACTGCCCCCGAGAAATACTGGTGCTGCTTCGGATTCGCCCGATTGTGACTACTGCAAGCTGACCGTCGAATTCTTCTATGACGAGCTAAAGAAAAAAGAAACTGAGGTTGGTTGGTAATTTATTTTTGATGCTAATGCACAAAAATTTCCTCGCAGAAATGTGAATTTTTTGTCAGAAGCAGGTACTGCAGTACTCCTTGCCTTAAAGGTGTACTGACATGATTTTGAGACATCGCAAAAAAGACATTTCGCTTCCTTGATATGTAGTATTAACGCTCTGCACACATCAGTCAGCCAACACATAAAATATTCTTTGGTTTCAAAGTTTTTGTCGTAAAGCAACAGCAAGTTAGCCAGCGCCATTGCAGTGCACATTATTCCGACATGTTAACATAATTACCCCGAGTTTGCGAACTTTGCATTCTGTATGGAGCCTAAATCACAGAAATCCTTGTCGGGCTCGCTGGAGACAATGCATTCATCGTCGCTCATGTGTACCATGAGCAGATGGCAGATCTGCCACTAGTACGCCGCGAATTGCTGTTTCCCCGTGACGTCACACTGCCATGACACATCATGTAGAAGCCCCTTGCTGAATATCGAAACCTAAAGTGTTTTTCTGAGGTAGTGGTATTAAAAAAGTGTGCAATGCATTCCCAGGCACCGCTGTACTCTTTTGAGGCTCCTCAAAGCCCGTGTTTTTATTTAGAACACCAATTCCAAAATATTAAGAATTTGTGTCGGTACTCTTTTAACATGCTGACAACAGTAGTTAGACTGTGTGGCATTAGCCGCCTATATTAGTCTCCAGTTTAGCCTACACATCACGTTCTCTATTTTCTATGCATTGATGCACAATGGAAAGCTTTTAGGTAATAAAGGGGGTGTCTGTCAATCAGAAAAGCTGGGTTTTGTGAATCTCTGAAAAAGAAGAATGTAAAAACTTTCGCGAAATGTGGGACACTTGTGCTTCTCTCATGGAAAATGAGGCATACTTTCATCAATGTATTGAAACATGCACTTCAGCCGTACAGGAAAAATTAGCATGGTGTGTGTGCCTGAAGATAATGGATGGCTTGTGCATCAAGAGCCTTAGTTACGCTTGATTATGGATAGGCTTTAGTAAGTAAACACACTGATAGCAGGAAGGATTGCTGTGCAGTGAAGCATATTATCTGTGGCCTATATTCATTGTGTAGTTGTATCAAATTACCAAAATAACGAACTACTGTAACTATTTGTGTATAATACAAACCCGAATATAATACGAGGCCAAATTTTAGAGGTGCAAAATGAGAAAAATAAAATTGTACCCGCATATAAAACGATGTAGGAAAGATCATTGAAAACACGTTCATTGATCACACACTCGCCATGTCAATCGCTGTCGTCTTCAACTGCGCTTTCCTCGGACATTTCTTTGTCATACAAATCGTCAAATAGGTGCTCGTCTTCTGTGCCATCGAGGGCATTAGAGATGCCACACTTCTTGAAGGAATGACGCACAAGGTCCTCTGGGATGCTTGCCCAAGCATCCATGATCCATTTGCATAGCGTGGCCGGTGATTCCCGTTTCAGCCGCCCGGTTGGCGTCACTGCAGCCTCACCTGAGTGAGTCAACTCGGCGTAGCAACGCTTAACCGAATCCTTGGAACGGCTTGTAACCGTGCCACACAGGCATAGAAAATGACATTTGGTAGCGGAGGCATTCAGTTCTGGAATGACATTTTTTTCGGCAGTGCTGCTACACGTCCAAAGCGAATGACATTTGACTTGATGATGTCGATCGCAGCACATTCCTCGTGAGCATTGCTAGAGTGCCCAAAGATGCTGCAGTTAAAGAGGAGATGCTACTCTCAAAAGTCGTCGATTGTTTTCTCAGACTTACAATTTTTGTTCTTGCTTGCTTCCACAAGTTTAGTTTCTCTACATTCAAGACAAAAACAATCATGGTTTTATTAAAACTCAAAGTAGGTTAAAATCGCTTTTAAAGAACAAAAGGTGGCTATTAGGAAGAAAAAAAAAAGCACACTTCTTAAAGCCCCCTGGAAATGGCCACCTGGCTGCTTACTGTTACATTTTGCATGAGAAATTTATCAGAGCACTGATGGAAGTGCTGCTAAGAAATTACACTTGAGAGAATGAGAATGGCGAGCTTTTACTGTTTGACCGACTCAAAAGTCCTAGAGAAAGTGAAATGAATCTGCATATTATCATTATAGTGTGCTACTAGTGTTCAGCATTATCCGCTCTGATCTCATTCATGCAACAAGAACTGGCATATTATTTAAACATTTGGACGTTTTTCCTCTCATCTAGACATGTAGGCTGGTGTGGTGGTATGTGAAAATGAGCAGAATTGCTTCTGTCTCATACCCGTTACCTAGCGTATAATGCGGAATATGTATAGGTCGAGGCGGAATATAGGTCGACACCTTTACCATGACCACCTAAAAAAAAAAATGCGGAATTGTTAACCGATTCACTTTATCCAGCCCTCCGAGCTGTCTGAGCTCTCCCCTGAGGATGACTGCTTTACACTAGCCGCCTCCCATAACATGTCGTCCTCGGTGCTGTTGAGAGCGTTGATGATGCAGTACTTCTTAACTGTGTTTGAAGAGAACGTCTGTCACCCTTGTCCAGTGCAGACATGGGTATAGTTGGCACTGTGCATTTGTGTTACTGCTTGTTCTGTCAACTAACCCTTTGTGGTCCAAAGTCTTTACCCACATTCAATTCCTTCCTGTCTAAGTCTAAAGAAATCAAAACTTCGGTAAAAGCAGTTCACTTACCATTTTAAAGACAGCGGATAATGCAACGTGGAAATGCACCCATAAATCAAGTGCTGAAGATTGTCAAGCAAAGCTTGACTACAGACTGCTGCAGCTGTGTTGCATTGTTGGGCGGCGCCTGTTAAGGCTGCAAAAGGCTAAATAATGCAGGATGCACAGAATGAAAATGTCACAATAATTTACACGAATGCAACTTCTATGACTTGCTGGCTTCACTTGCCCTTCGGCTACGTCCGCCTCGGTGGATCAGTGGTTACGGTGCTTGGCTGCTGACCCGATGGCTGTGGGTTTGATCCGGGTCGTGGCTGTCGCATTTTAACGAAGGCGAAATGGTAGAGGCCCATGTACTCTGTGGTGTCGCTGCACATTGAAGAACACTCAATGTGCAGCGTCAACGAACAAAGGCTCTAAAGATAAATCATTCAGTTGTTCTCGTTTGAAGATATTGGCGTCGGGAAACGTGTGAGAGACCGCAGCAAAACAGATATCGAGGGTATCTGCACTGTCCTCCGTCGTGGTCATAGGCAGGCGAGAAAGGCAATCAGCGTCCGAATGACGTCGTCCACTTCTGTACGAAATGCTGAAGTCAAATTCTTAAAGGCGTAAAGCCCATCGAGCAAGGCGGCCAGAAGGGTCTCGGAGAGTAACAAGCCAACATAATGAATGACGGTCTGTCACAATCGTGAATGGATGACAGTAGAGGTAACATCGAAACTTCTGAATGGTGAATACAGCCGCTAAACATTCTTGCTCTGTCACCGTATAATTCATTTCAGCCTTGCTTAGAGATCGACTCGTATAAGCAACAACATGCTCTGCATTATCATGGCGCTGTACAAGCACACCTTCGATGCCAATTCCACTTGCGTCACTGTGCACTTCTGTAGGAGCAGAAGGATCGAAATGACGAAGAATAGGCTCAGATGTCAGTAGAAGTTTCAGTTCAGAAAATGCGGCATCACAATCAGGTGTCCATTTGAATGGGCTGTCTTTTCGCAACAAGCTCGTTAGTGGGTGTACTACGTCCACGAATCGGGGCACAAAGCGGCGAAAGTAGGAACATAGGCCCAAGAAGCTGCGAAGTTCCTTCAGTGTCTGGGGTGGTTTGAATGTGCCGACTGCTTCGATTTTGCGGGGATCCGGCCTGACACCATCTTTGTCAACTAGGTGACCGAGGACTAAAGCTTGTCGTTCACCAAACCGGCACTTCTTAGAGTTCAAAATCAAGCCAGCCTTTCCAACACAGTCTAAAACAAGGCTTAAACGGACGTTGTGCTCTTCAAAGGTACGCCCAAAAATGACGACGTCATCCAGGTAGCATAAGCACACCTCTCATTTAAGACCACGAAGGACAGAGTTCATAAACCTTTCAAAAGTGGCGGGGGCGTTGCAAAGCCCAAACGGCATCACATTGAATTGGTACAGTCCATCAGGCGTCACGAATGCGGTCTTCTCCTTGTCTGAAGGGTGCATAGGTATCTGCCAATATCCTGATTGTAGGTCTATTGAAGAAAAGTATGAAGCCGAGCGTAAGCAGTCAATAACATCGTCAATCCTAGGCAGTGGATATACATCTTTCTTGGTCACAACGTTGAGTCTTCTGTAATCAACGCAGAACCGCCAGGCACCATCCTTCTTCCAAGATGACTGGTGCTGCCCACGGGCTACACGACTCTTCAATGACACCCTTCTTCAGCATTTCCTGAACCTGGTCGGCAATAACTTTTCGTTCTGATGACGACACTCGGTAAGGCTTTTGTAGGATCGGATGGGAAGTGCTGGTGTCAATCCTATGGTGAGCGCGAAAACATGGTAAAGGTAGTGGCTTCTCCTCTTGGCAAAAGTCAAACACAGAAGCATGTCGCCTCAACAGATGGCGTAACGTCTGCTGCTCGTGTGACCGCAAAGTGGCGCTAATCATACCTAGGATCTGCGACTCGTAAGAGCAGCAGTGCTTGCCAGATACTGTACCTTTCTCGCTTCCATCGTTGTTAACGACTGCTACAGAACCTTCAGTGGAATCATCGAAGACGCCAAGCTTCATTCCTCGAGGAAGCACGACCGGCATTGGCGAACAATTCAGTGCCCACAGAAAGGTTGCTCCTTCATCAATAGATACCAAACAACGAGGGACGAGTATGCCTTCCTTAGCACATTGAATGATGGCAGGTTCAACGATGGCGTCAAAAGATGTGGCAGATTCTGGGGCAAACACTGCAACTGACCTCATTGACCATGGCGGCACTGTCAGCTCGTCCGAAACAATCGGAGCATCCTCCGCGGCCTGCGGCGCCTCATCGACGAGGGCAGGAACAATGTCACCGCTGACGGAAAGTTCACCGCTTCCACAATCAACGAAAGCGCCACATCCTTGGAGAAAGTCAAGACCAAGAATCACATCGTGTGTACAACGTTGCAGCACAAGAAACTCTGTTGGGAACACCTTTCCTGTCAATAAGACATTGATGGCACAAACTCCAACAGGATGAAGTACTTCCCCACCAACACCACGAAAACTTGATTCGCCCCAGAAAACATACCGTAATTACTTGAATCTAACGCGCACCTTTTTTCCGGTTAAGAGAGTTCATAAATCGCATGCGCGTTAAAATCGAGCACGAAAAAAAAAAATGAATATGGTCATTCTATTGCCATCGGCACTTCCAAAATGGCCGCCCCCTACGTGCGTCGGCATGGCGCGTCGGCCATTTCTGCCTATGTGTTTCCCATGTGCGGCACTTCGTACGTGTGCTTAGGAGTTCGTCATCTTGTAGTACATTAGCATCGACGGCATGGTAGGGCCGACTCCAAAAACTCGACGAGTGTACCACAATGCTGCTTTTAAAAGAAACGTCATCGCGTGTGCCGAAACGGACAGAAATCGGGCCGCATCGCGGTCGTTCGGAGTTCCCGAAACGTGCGTGCGGGACTGGCGGAAACAAAAGCAGAATATTGTCGACAGCAAAGATTCACACAAAGGCTTCAGTGGACCACAGCAGGGTCGGTTTCCACGAATTGAAGAGCTGCTCGGCGAGTATGTGATTAAGCAGTGAGCGGCACAGCGGCCCGTGACGACAGAACTGCTCCAAGTGCAGGCTATGCAGTTAGCCTTTGAAAAAGGGCTAATGCAGAGCCAGTTTAAAGCGGGCAGGTGCTGGCTAACTAACTTTATGAAGAGGAAAGGCTTTTCCCTCCGAAGGCGAACGGGCATATGCCGGAAGTTGCCGGAGGAGTACGAAGAAAAGCTTCAGAGTCTTCAGAGGTTCCTCCTTAACTTGCGGCACAACAACGGCTACCTGCTTTGGCAAATCGGGAATGCCGATCAGACGCCTCTTTACTTCGACATGCCTGGCACCACATTCGTCGAGAAGAAGGGGGCGAAGCAAGTTCGTGTGCCGACATCGGGCCATGGTAAAACTAGAGTGACAGCAATGCTCCGTTGCACGTCAGGTAGGCACAAGCTTCCCCCGTACCTCATATTTAAACGGAAGACGCTCTCAAAAGGAGTCGTTTTCCCGAGTGGTGTGATCAAGCGGGCCAACGAGAAAAATGGGTGCGCGTTGCAGTCGATGTCTTAGTTTTTTTTTTTTTGTCATGGAAACCGGGCGCGCGTTACAATCGAGGGTGCGGTAGAATCGAGTAAATACGGTAACTTTGCGGCCAATGCGACTTTTGAACGAAAGACTCATAACTGATATCGTAGCACCAGTGTCCACCAAAGCACTTGTACAAAAGCCATCTATTTCCACACGTGTCTTGTTCTTCGACATTATAACTGGTGGAGGCATCTGAGGCAAATTCTGTTGTGCGACTTCACCTTCAACGGTCGCGCTGGCTAGTTTCTCGGCGGCGGCGGCGATGACAGGCGTCATCCCGGCGAAGGTGAACGATGCAGTCGGCCAGATGGAGGCGTCAAACTACGGTCAGAAGCGGGAGAACTTCCACGGTGATTTCCCCGCCATGAGGTACTCCTAGAATAGGCGGGCCAATGACCGTTGTTGTGACCAGTGCCCGCTGGCGGAAACTCTGATGGGGAATTATATCGGGATGTCGGCCCTCTCTGTCGACGACAGAATCGAGCTGTATGCCCGGCAATACCGCAACGGTAGCACACAGGGGCTTGGCGGTATGCATTGTACTCCTGGAAGGCATTGCGCTGACGTGGTGGTGGTACAGGTACATCTTCCTTTGGGTCGTAATAGGTGTTGGCTGGCTGATGGGGGTAACTGAAGCGGTCTTCGTACCTCGGCAGCGGGTAGTTATTGCGCTGTGACCTCGGTGGTGAGGGTGGCCTGTAGTTGCAGTCATCGATGCCTTCTGCCGCAATTGACACGGGAGGGCGAGAGAGGCGGTGCGGGTGTAGCTTCGTATGGCGTCAGGCGAGCGTGTCGAGTGAGCTTTTCTCAAACAATCTGGCGTATTGTCGACGCGAGATCAAGCGGCGTGTATTCGTCAACACTTGCCACGGTGGTTACATTCGGTAGGCGACCGAACTTGGGGGTGATACGTCGCATCTTCAGGGTCTCGAATGTGCGACAGTGGTTTATGACGTCGGTTACCGTAGCAAGGCTGTCTTTGCTGATGAGGAACTGATACACATCCTCGGCAATGCCCTTCAACAGGTGGCCAACTTTTTGTCTTTCTCTGACATAGAAGGGCTGACAATCTTGCAGAGCTTCAAGATTGCCTCTACATAGGTCGTGCACGTCTCTCTTGCGATCCGAGCTCTCTGCAGTAACGTCTGTTCGGCCTACTTTCTCTTAGCTACGGAGTCTCCAAAGCACGCTCTTATTTCGGAAACGAAGCGATCCCATGACGTGAGGGCATCTTCGTGGTTCTCGTACCACACGAGTGCTGTGTCCGTTAAGGAAAATACTACATTGGTCAGCTGGGTCGCCGCGTCCCACTGGTAGTATTTGCTCACCCGTTTGAAGTGTGTGAGCCAGGCGTGCACGTCCTTGCCAGATTTGCCACCGAATGTGCGAGGCACTATCAGATCCTGACGCAACCAGGGACCAGCCGCATGCGAACCTGGCACTAGCGGTGCTGCTGGGACTGGTAGAAGGTCTGCAGCTGTGGGGATCCGGTTTCCTTCTTCGCCGTGAGACATCTCAGCTGCCAGTGGTAACGGGGGAGGTCCAGCAAGGCGGCGGCTTCGTCGTAGATCAGGCGCTTGAAGCGTCGTGTTGCTTGGTTGATTACTCAGCACCTCCACCACAAAACTGTTACGGTTTAATTAAAGGATATGTGGATTTATTTACAGGGTGAGGATGATGTTCGGCAGTCGCCGTGAGGATGATGTTCGGCAGTCGCGAATGGAGTCCTCAGGCCGCGCCAGACAACGTCGTCTTCCTCCTCTACCTACCCGGCACATACTACAGCCCGGCTCATATATACCGTAGCAATAATATTATTAATTATTATTGTTATTGCCCTTATGATTTGGCACAATTGATGGTTATTATGTAGGTCACTGCAGCAGTTAATCTTTTGAAGAGGTGCTGTGAACAAATATTGAAGTACAATAAAACCTCAATAATTCAAACTCTGTTATTTCAAAATCCCACTTAATTCAAAGTATTTCTGCGGTCCCGTGTTTTGCAGTGTATGTTTGAGTGGATAATTTGAAGTGGCAGTCAGCACAAGTCTGGTTAATTAGAAAACTTTGGGTATAGTGTGCCCATTCCATTCCTGATCCCGATTTCGCCTAAAATCCGCGGAAACGACAGACCTTAAGAGTCACTAGGCAATGTACTTTAGCGATACTAATGAGTGGTAGCTGAAGCACGTCTGGCTTACTCATTTTAGCACCAAAAATAAAATTGTATATAAGAAAATAACGATCTCGTGATCAATAAAATATGAGCCTGTGGAAAACAAGACATGCTTCACTGCAATACATCAGTGACGCATCGGCAGCATGTTGCATGCTTTTTCCTATGTCAGCGCATCAGGATTTATCCATGCTTTCTGGGAATTTAAAGAACTTAATAAAGGACAGTCTGGAGAAATCCCTGATGTATGTGAACCGCGGAGTACCGGTTGCTCCAGCAATTCATGCACTTGCACAGCTGGCGAAGTTCTTGCCTGCAACGCCTACTTGGAAAACTCGAGTTGAAAGCTTTAATGGTGATGTTTTCAAGGCAAAACAAATCGCGAATTTTGTCACACTGTCTATTATTAAATTCTTTATTTTAAGAGAAAAAAGGGGCGAATGGTCGCATCATGACGTGCTGACGCAGCGAGGAGCAGGCAACATGCTGCCCGGGTGTCACTACTGTGTTGCAGTGAAGATGTCTTGCTTTTCGCAAGTGCGAATTTCAGTTGGTCATGTTTTTTTGTGTTTTTTTTTGTTGCGGTGACAGCAGTTAGGCCTGAACTTCCCCCTTGTTTGTGGCAAAACTGTGACCAGGTATTGCCGGAAAACATGACAAAGCCACAAACTAGCCAGCACAATAAATGACCTGCCCGAAATAATTTGAATAATTTCAAGTTTCTTGCATTCCACATTTTGTAGGTATGTTGTGTTAATTTTAAAACCCACTGAATTTGAGGATTTCTCACAATCCCAGTGACTTTGAATTAAGGAGGTTTTACTGTAATTTAGTTTTAGCTGAACTTAGGGGCGAAGTCGGCACATAGTTATGAGTGTAGAGTTCGAGTTATCACTCGATGGGCTGCTTCTTACATGAAAGCAAGCTTAACCGGAATTTTGGAATAACAGAGTTCTAATTAATCGGGTTTTCCTGTATGTCTGGTGTGAATCTGTGCAGGAAGAAATCAAGCTGATAGTTGAGAAAGTGTGTCAGCTGTTCCCAAGCAGCAGCAGGGACAAGTGCATCAGCACAATCAACACCTACGTGGACATGGTGATATCCCTCGTCCTTCAAGAGTTCACCCCTGAGCAAATTTGTCAGCAACTTGGCTTTTGTGCCCCAAGTGAGTGGTGTCATTGCACTTATGGTTTTCCATGGGCACCCAAATAATCACAGTTTAATGAAATTTTCATATAAATGAAACACAAATATTTGAGGACAAATGACCCCCCAAATATCGAAAGGTACTCAGAATATTCTCGTATTTAAACAACTTGTAATAGGAAGATGCATGGAGTAAGTCTGGTTAAAGAAAAAAATGTAGGTATATATATGCATTCTCTGATGCATGCATGAATGTAATGTGTGCAACTAGATGTGCAGAAATTCGGAGAGCATGAAAACAACAAATTTTAGTCATCTGTGGCATCATTACACAAGCTGTAATGAAATGAGGAAACAGCATGTCACCAGATGAAGTGCTATTGTGTTTTTCAAAAAAAAGACGTGTGTACTTGAGTATTGCTAACACAAAGCAAATGTTGTTAGAGATGTTAACAAAGGGAACTTAGTGGTGCCATGCAGAAATCTGTGCTTTTTATTCGACATTTCTCTGTAGAAAAGCAGTTGCCTCTGCCAATGCTCCTAATACAGTGGCTGGCTGCTGTGCATAGTGGCAGGATGCTGTGCACGTTTAACTTGCAGATGTGTGTTGGGCAGATGCAGAGATAAGGCACATTTATACTTGAGACAGGCTGTGCAAACTGTAGTAATGATTATGTGGAGTAGGGATTCTGGTGCTACCGCACTGCATATTGTTTTATAGGGACGTGAATGTGACATAAAATCTGAACAGGGCCATTTCACGTAAGATCGAACAATGCATGGCTGGTCGACCTTTTAAGGTTATTTTAAAATTTTAGATATTGTTGCCTGACAAGTGCATAGAAGAGATCCGCAATTGGTTTTGCTGCAAAACATTTTTTTTGAGCCACTGAAAATCGATGAAGAGGTGGAGTGCCACGCTTACTTGCTGTGCTATTTTTATTTGGCGATGAGTTACACGAAATATATTAAAGCTATGTTTCTCAAATTTGTTTAGTCAAATACATGCATGCTCGTGCTTATGTTCAGTTATTTTTGGTTTCTATATGTATAAAAAATCTCAAAATCGACTCGGGAAAAGTCTTTTGCCTACTTTGCAGGTCTTTATTTAAAATGGCGTATGACAGAGCGATGAAAATTCCGCATTGCGTTCTCAGCATGCTTGTTTATCAAACTGTCAAAGATTATTTTATAACTTTTCGATAAAGAGATACAATTGGGCTTACTTCAAGAAAGCAACATACAATGGAAAATTCTGGCTATGAATAAAAAAGAACTATTTTTGATATTTCGTAAACTTTCTTCACTTATTCTTTTGCACATAAGCTTTTCCAATCAATAAAAACATTAGAGCATCACTAAACACTATTTTATCGGCCCTTTGCTGGCCTTGCAGCCACACATTATTAACACGGCGGATATAGAAGTGCAGACGTAGCAGACATTGTTCGCGCGATTTGTGTGTTCAAAGAAAATGCAAATGAGAGCATGTCTGATATATGAACTTTTATATTTACTTTTATATTTACTTTTATATTTAAACAAAAGCATTCCAAGGTGACTGATCTAATTTTGGGCTTGAAGGTTGGGATTAAAACGCACTTGCTTGGTGTGTAAACAGAGGTGATTGCACAAGCTATCGGAATCGATGGCTGTGGGTCGAGTTCCCCAGCGACGTTTAGCGCCCGCACAGGAAACGCTTCCTGGTGTCAACGTGGAAGTCGAAATTTGACTGCATTTTCTTGTTGGTGCTGCTGTGGAAGCACCATAGTAACTCTGTCGGGAAGCTGTGAGCGCTTGCTTCAAGCATGCGGATGGCAGTTACTTGCGCCAGAGAAACAGCACTGGACCCATCGATCTCGGTGAAAAGCATAAACGAGGCGCAGTAGTGATCCAGCTGCGCCATTTGCGCCAATTTGCTACAATTATACCTTCCTGCGCCTTACTGCGCAAGTGTTGTTTTGTTTGCGCCAAATGCGCCAAATTGCACGAAAGAACCCGACTTTAGCGGATGTTCATTTTTCAGTTGGCAACAAGTGAATTCTTTTCTAGGTTGGCAATTGTTTACCATGTGCTTTGCAGCTTAGGTATTCGTCGGTGTCGTTCGGGTGTTTTCTGTAGGTTTTCGCGCTCATGCACAGCACGTCGTGTCGTTGCATGTGCGCCATGTGCTTGTGAACAAACAGTCAGCGAATGTTTGTCATCCCCCCGCTGTTGAAATGGACAAAAGTAAGTCGCTTTCTTTTTAAATTTTGTGGCATTTCTTAATAGCGCCCGTGAAATACTTTAGTGAATGCTTAGGCGATCGCGTAGCGCTGCTGGCATTTATTACCGGCCGCACTTTGCTATTGAATCAGTACAGAAGTTGCAACTTGCCTATAGTTCTTGCGATTTCTCGCTACTGATTGTTTTTGTGTTCGGAGTGTCTGAGCGCTGTACGTAGGCTTAGGAAGGTGCGCCGTGCCTTGTTTCGTGGTGCGGAATATCCGCATTTGAAACGCGCAATCGCTCGTACGGCATGCAGCAGTTACACCTCCTACATGCTACCGTTCGGAACATATAATAGTGCGAAACGAACGAGCGAGTGACGCGGAATACACTACGAATTTCTGCAGGCGGGTCGCTTTTGTTGACGTTAGCAGATCGCTAGATGGGCCGTATGTGCTGCCGGCGCGTCACGAATCGGGCGCCCCACCGTGCGAGCTGCTTGTAGAATAGTCGGAAAAGAGTGATTGAGCGTCGACCATGTCAACACAAGCAAGTCAATAAGCACCGTAATGTTACCGCATTAGCGGCAGCCGATCGTTGGGAATCCGCTATTCGTGACGTGCCGTTCCCAATCAGCTTTTTTAAATATTTAATTTAAGGAAAACATTGCTGTCGATTTCTGCTCTGGTCATCGCGCGCCGCGCCGGAAGGAAGCAAACCTCCAACATACATTAGCGCCTTATGCCGCCTTGCCAGCTGGGGCAATGCGTTTGTCTGCGGCCGTCAGACCCACGCGTCATCCGCATGGCAACTTCCTGTAAGTTGGTCGCGAGTTTTAGGTGTGAATGGTCGACAGACAAACTGGCATCCCGATTCGCGCCATTTGTCGAGGCTGTACCCAAAATGCTTGCGCAAATATTTGGTGTTGGCGCCTTAGAGTTGGTATTTAGATCTTCCAATGAAGTAAGGTTGGCAGTATGTTACGGGCTACCCTAAAAATAAATCTAGTAGTTACGTGCTCTTTTTACTAGCGTGCCTTTGTCGTGGGAAAATTTACAAGAGTGGAACCTTGGGCTAGTTGGTGCGTAGTCACATTTGCAAGATTTTTATACTGACGCATTGACTAGGCTTGTATTTTGTCATGTTTTTAATCATCCTTTTTTGGGCATATATATTCTTGCCACTCTGTGATATAAAGTTAGAAGTCAGTGCTCTTTCTGTCTACCCTGTTGCTTTTACCAATATTCACGCTCTGAAAAAAAACTTGGGAAAGTTTACTGTCATAAAGTTCGTTTCGCTCATGTTTTCAGATCGCAACACCAAGTTCAACGCCTCTGTACTCAACGAGGTGGACTCCAATAATGATCCGATCAGTCGGTGGTGCAAGAGTGGAACCCGAAATACAGATGCATTTTGTATTCTTTGCAACTGCACCATTTCTTGCGCACAGCATGGAGCGGCAGCAGTGAAGCGTCATGCTGGGATGAAGAAACATATTGATGCAGCTGCTAGACACAGAGACAAGGACGGGAATCTTCTTCCACCCAAATTGGTGCAAGGCACACTGGACTTCTCCAACGTGTCTGCTAATACATCACTTGAGCACCAAGTCAGCAAGGCAGAAACTACTTTTGCTTTGTCTGTTGTGGCCAAGGGAATTCCTTTTTCATGGGGAGACACGGCAACTTCGATTTATCACTGCATGTTCCCCGACAGTGACATTGCCAAAAAGTTTAGTTGTGGCAGAATAAAGTTGGCCCGCATTGTATCAGATGGACTGGGTCCCTACTTTAAAGGACAAGTGGTGACTGAGCTGTGCCAGCCAAATGTCTATTTTTCCATTATGATTGATGAGACGCCAAAGCCAGAGCTAAGGGTGCAGCAACTAGATGTGCTGGTACGCTATTTTTCCAGCAGCCAACAGGAAGTTGTTGTTGAACATGTCCAGTCATTTGATCTTGGGCGTGCAACCGCTGAAATAATTGTTGGCTGCATAGAAGAAGCAATAGCAGATCTTCCAAAGCAAGGACTTGTTTGCTTTTTCAGTGATGGCCCTAATGTTATGAAGAGCGTAAGAAACAAGCTTCAGAAGCATGTGGCACCAAGTTTGATTGATATTGGCAACTGCAATCTTCATAAAGTTCATAATGCATTTGGCAGAGGCCTGGATGCATTTGGCTTAGATGTAGAAGAAGTAGTGAGAAATATTTACTACTACTTCAAAGGTGCTGTCCGCGCTGAAGCACTCAGAGAATGCCAGGATACTTTGGGAATCTCTTGTCATGTATTTCTGCGCCACGTTTCTAATCGCTGGCTGACGCTACAAGACTCACTTTGCCGAGTTGAGGAACAGTTTGAAGCGCTTCGCACCTATTTTTTTAAGGGCAATTCATCTCGTCAACGACCTGACACCCAAAGCCTACACAACAAGCTTGTGTCGGCATTTTCTGAGAAACAACTTTTGGCCAAAGTGTTGTTCCTTAAGAACTGTGCGCAGCTTTTCAGTGGATTTCAGCTGCTCTTCCAAAAGCAAGAGCCGCTCTTGCACATACTTCACGTTGAACTTATTGTTCTAGTCCAACGAGTCCTCAGTCGGTTTCTTCGTCATGAAGCCTTTGCAGACAAGAGCGCTGAACAACTGAAAAGGCTAGATGTGATGGATGCATCCCTTTGGAAATCGAGGCCAGAAGTTGGTACAGATACTGAAAAATCAATGCTTGAGTGGGACTCTAGTGAGAAGAAGCGGTTTTATCTTGGAGCACGTGCTTTTTACTTGGCCTGTGCCAAGGATCTTCTTCAGAAGCTTCCACT